AATTAAAAGCGCGTTTTCAAGTCGCCACAGCGAATATAAATATTAAATGATGGGTTTTCTCTTAAAATGCTCGAATCTCTCATTTTCTTTAATTTAATTTCTAGTATTTTGTATTTAATTATTAAAGGAAGGTGTAATAATTTTTTAAAACCAGAGGCACGCACACGCATGGGTAAAAGCGGGAATAAGTCGGACGTCAACACGGAAAACACATGTCAATGATACTATATATACTGTACAATGGTGAGTTTGTTAAAAAAAATGAATTTCTGATTCCTGAATCCTGAATCCTGAACCATCCACTGAGACGATATATTGACATTTCCATATAATACCCTTACTGCCCCTTCTCATTCGAGCAACGCAGCTTCAGCTTGTTTCCATTTCTTGCGTTGTGACTTTACCAAATGAACTACTTTTTTTTTTGTTAAATCTGAAATTAAATAGGGTAATTAGACAAGCAGTGAATTATTAAATTATTGATGGGTATTAAATATTTGGGGAAAAGAAAGACTTATATTAATTTATGGTCAGACCCTTGATCTTATTAAAAAATCACACACAGGGCAGTCCTCAAGACAGCTTCTTCCTCTTCTTATACTCTCTCAAAGCTGCAGAACATTGAATTCACACTGCAAGAAGAGGAGGACGACCAAGAAGAAGAAGAAAGAGATCAAAGGCTAAACCTTGTGTTACAAGTTTTGTCTAGTTTTCGTTCTCTCCCTAGCAATTGGGTATTGAGCATTGGTCGGATCCTGAGAGCGATGATGATGTGGAAGAACATTGCTGGCTTCTCTAAGAAGGCGGCTGCTGCTGCTGGCAGAACAAGCGGATCTCGGAGGTGGTTGTCGACGGCGATACCTGGACCTTGCATCGTCCACAAGCGTGGTTCCGATATCCTTCACGATCCATGGTTTAACAAGGTCATCCCTTCTCTCATCCTCATTAATTAACTCAACTAATGCTGAATTAGTATAAATCATCCTCTGTTTGGTGCTTTAAAGTTTGTTCCTTTTTTTTTGGTTTTGGACAGGACACAGGTTTTCCTTTGACTGAGAGAGATAGATTGGGGCTAAGAGGCTTGCTTCCTCCTCGTATCATCTCCTTTGAACAGCAATATGACCGTTTCAGTTAGTCTCTCTCTCTCTCTTTGATCCTTTTTTTTTTATAGATCATTCATTATTATGCATTTTCTGAGATTTCTTTGTTTGTATAAACAAACATATTTGCAGTTGATTCCTTTCGGTCCCTTGAGAGGAACACACAAGGGCAGCCAGACAACGTTGTCTCTTTAGCCAAGTGGAGGATTCTCAATAGGTTGCATGATCGTAACGAGACTCTCTACTACCGAGTGAGTTCAAAGTTTCCTTCTTCTTTTTTTTTTTAATTTTCCGTGAGACAGAACTAACTCTTGTTCTCTGCAGGTGCTTATTGATAACATCAAAGATTTTGCACCAATTATATACACACCCACCGTTGGACTGGTTTGTCAGAACTACTCGGGTTTGTATAGAAGACCCCGAGGAATGTACTTCAGTGCCAAAGACAAAGGAGAGATGATGTCCATGATCTATAACTGGCCAGCTCACCAGGTTGATATGATTGTCATCACTGATGGTAGCCGTATCCTTGGCTTGGGAGACCTTGGAGTTCAAGGTATTGGGATTCCTATTGGAAAGCTCGACATGTACGTGGCTGCTGCGGGAATCAATCCACAGAGAGTATGTCTGATCTGTTTTTGTTTGGTTCTTCTGTATAAGAAGACACATGTTTCATCTCCTTATTTGTTCTGGTGCAGGTTTTGCCAATTATGTTGGATGTGGGCACAAATAATCAAAAGCTCCTACAGAATCCTCTCTGTAAGCTACTTTAGATGATGTACTTCTCTGGATGTGTTTCTTTTGACACTTCATTTATGTATCTTCTCGATTTTATAGATTTAGGACTTAGACAACCTAGGTTGGAAGGAGATGAGTACCTTGAGATTATTGATGAATTTATGGAAGCTGTATTCACTCGTTGGCCTAAGACCGTAGTACAGGTACATCTTAGTTTCTACTTTGGTTTTACCTTCTGGTGGTGGTGAGGATGACTAGAATGGTTGTTTCCATCATGATAGTTCGAAGATTTCCAAGCGAAATGGGCTTTTGAAACTTTGGATAGATATCGAAAGAAGTTTTGCATGTTCAATGATGATGTCCAGGTATGTTCTCATCATTGTATTTCAACTGGTTTTACTTTTATAGCTACTCTTTTTTTCTTTAGTAACAACATTGGCGTATGGTTTCTCAGGGAACTGCTGGTGTTGCTCTCGCTGGACTATTGGGAACTGTAAGAGCCCAAGGTCGGCCTTTGTCAGACTTTGTGAACCAAAAGATTGTTGTTGTGGGAGCTGGAAGGTACTTGTAAAATCCTTTACTAATGTATTTTTTATTTCTGCAGTAACTTTCATCTCATCTTCGTATTGTAATATTTCTTCTGTTCCTTCCAGTGCCGGGCTCGGTGTAACTAAGATGGCAGTACAGGCAGTTGCGAGAATGGCAGGCATCAGCTTCGCTGAAGCAACGAAAAACTTTTACTTGATAGATAAAGATGTAAGTTTCTGTTTTCCACTGTATGGGTTGTTCTTGCTTGATAATAAATAAGCAATAACTATGCTTTCGTAGTTCCAAGGGTCAATTGACTTTGAAACTGTCATAATATTGCCCTATTTAGAGCTTGCTTTAGGATATTGTTGTAAGCTATCCACTTATAGCTTACCTATAAGAAGTCACAAACATTTAGTAAGTTATCCAGTTGACATTCTTTGTTGTATTGGTCAGCATATTGTTTTCTTCATATACTTGCTTGGTAAGATCTTGAGTAATCTAATGAAAACGACTGATTGGGCTTAAGGGTCTTGTCACCACGGAGAGGACAAAACTTGACCCAGCAGCTGTACCTTTTGCCAAAAATCCAGCTGAGATACGTGAGGGAGCAAGTATCGTTGAAGTGGTAAGCCTAAGCCTTAATTGTATTCTTGACTTGCCCGGTTAGTTGACTTAATGTTCTTTCTGTAGTATTGTCCATGAAAGTCAGAGATAATAATATTGTCCTTTAACAAAATGTTCAGGTGAAGACAGTGAGGCCACATGTTCTTCTTGGTTTATCTGGAGTGGGCGGCATCTTCCATGAAGAAGTAGGTGACCTTTTCCAACAAATATGTAGTTTTATGGTATACTGATTAACAGTTATACTTATATGGTTTACTGGTTTCAATTATGCAAAGGTTCTCAAAGCAATGCGAGAATCTGATTCATGCAAGCCCGCCATTTTTGCCATGTCGAATCCCACCTTGAATGGTTTGTGTGTTTTAATGTTTACAAAATAACGTAACATTTTCCTTGAAAGAAGATCTGATCTGAATACTTTTTCGGTGTGTGACAGCCGAGTGCACTGCTGCTGATGCATTTAAGCACGCCGGAGAAAACATAGTCTTTGGAAGCGGAAGCCCATTTGAGCACGTTCAACTTGGTACGTTATAGTGAGGTCTTCACGTAGGTCTTTTGTAACTGTAGTTGCTTAAAATCTAAAAACTATTCCTTTGTACTTGCTCTACTTGCAGAAAATGGTAAAGTTGGGCATGTGAATCAGGCCAACAACATGTACCTATTCCCCGGGTTCGTTTCCTTTCTTAGAAGCTGCTTCAGTAAATCACATTTCAAATGCATTTTATATTCAGCTCAAATCAACTGTGCTTATTATCGTTTACAGGATCGGGTTAGGGACACTTCTATCTGGTGCACGTATTGTAACTGATGGAATGCTGCTAGCTGCTGCTGAATGGTAAGAAGATTGCATTTGGTTCTCTTCTATCTTATGAAATAGTAATGCTGACGATTATAACTATACTGCCAAAATATAATGCAGCCTTGCGTCCTACATGACTGACGAAGAAGTTCAAAAAGGCATCCTTTACCCTTCAATCAACAAGTATTATTTCCTCTGATTCACTCTCATTCTTATCCGTTGATTTTTGTTTGATATCTAAAACGATTTGGACAAAATGCAGCATCCGACACATAACAGCTGAGGTTGGGGCGGCTGTTCTAAGAGCTGCGGTTTCTGATGACATTGTAGAAGGACATGGGGATGTTGGTCCCAGAGATCTCAGTCACATGTCTAAGGTATCAAAACAAATTGTGATGTGTTGTAGAAGTTTGAATCTAAATGCATATTTTTTTTGTTTTTGAATCAACAGGAGGAGACAGTGGATTACATCACACGGAACATGTGGTTCCCAATTTACAGCCCTCTCGTGCACGAGAAATAGACTCTTTGAACTCTCAGCTTACATAGAATAAGCCAAAAGACTGACCATTTTTGTTTTGTTTTCTGTTCTTTGCGATCAACAACAACATTCTTTATCCTTTTCTCTCTCAGTATGTGCTAGAAAATCAATGATGATAATGTTTACAAAACAATGCAAAAAGAAGGCTTGAGGAACCAAAAGGGTAGTTTTGGGTCACATGTTCCTTGTCATTTTCTTACAGTTATGTTTTGAATGAATATATATAACTTTATATACTCCACTCAATCCATTGGATCAGACAGTGATCATGAAATGTGAAGTGTTAATTTACGGAATAATGAAGAAAGAGTGGTGATTGTGGGAGGTACTGGCTACTTGGGTTATCTATATGACAGGCATGTAACAAATTCGACCTTTATGTATCTGTCTCTGAATCAATCCAATCTTGTTTTGGACCAAAGGAAGAACAACCTTACAGTGCAAAATGAAGATGTAGATAGGATAAAAGAGAGGTGTTAAAAAGCATATGTAAAAAGCACTTAATAAAAAAACATACGTTGGTAGTAAAGAACATTCAGTTGAAAAGTCGACCGATTAATGTACACAGCCAAAATAAAACTAGAATTACATATTTTAAACAAATCAGCAGAAACACATAATAATATAAGAAAATAGAAAGATAGAGAAAGGCTAAAGGTAAAAGGAGAAAAGAGAGAGAGAGATAAAGAGGGGGTGTCAGTTAAGTCTGCGCCGAGTGAAAGCAGGGTGAATGGTTCTTCTTCCGTCCAAAGAATCAAGTTTGTGAGTAAACTCTCGGACTCTCTTTACAACTTTAGGTATGTTTTGAGCGTTCCTGGACATTATTTCCTTGAGCTGAATCATCTTCTGTTCACACTCTTGCTCTTCAGTTCCTGCATATACCGAAGAAGATTTGTTGATAATATATAAAAGTATAAGAGATAAGAGAGATAGAAGACAAAGATCAGTGCAGGCTCTTGTGTTTCTCTACAATACCAAGAACCTTTCTAAAAGAAAAGGTCTCCTATGAAGTACTACATACAATGGGCACAGGTTTCATTATATCCAAAAGAAATCATTAAAAAAAAAAAACTAGCTTAGAGACCAAGTATGGAATGGGTGAATAATCAAAATAAGAAAACAAAGCATCAGACTGAGACTCTGCAAAAGACAAATCAATTTGGAGTGCAGGCACAAGGTACATATATTGCAAACAAAAAACAGTATGATAGATTTAGAATTCCCAAGGGGCATAAATAAACACAATCATCCGGAATAGGAAACTTGTGGATACATAATATAAGATATAATCTCTCCTCCACCACAACCCAAAATTCACCCATATGCTGCTCAATGAGATGTATTTAAACGAACCCAAAAATGTAAAACAAAAAAAAACCCTAATTTTTCCATCTGCTTTCAGTTCGTTCACAATGAAATGGGTGATATTCAAAATTCGATTTTGCTAAGAACCCATAAAATAAAAGGAAGATTGAGCGAAGGAGACAGACGGAACCTGCTGAGATAGTGAGGCGATTAGAGGAAGAGGGAAGCTGAGGATCCGACCCGGAAGCGATGTTGGGGAAGGTATGAGAGGAGGAGGAGAGCGCGGAATCAAGGGTGTTCCTGAGATGTTCCGGTAGGGTTTTTCTGTACTCTGAAACCTTCTGCGCCATCTCCGTCACTTCCGACTCCAATTTCTCAAGCTCTCCTTCATCTATCAGCTCCGATCCCTCCGACTCGGGAATTAGGGCCATTTGATTCCTTCAATTTTATTTTGAAACCCCCCTTTCTTTCACCTCTGGGTGATATATTCGTTGAGATTTTCTGATATGGAAAAAGTTAATGAGAGGGGTTTTTCAAAAAGTGAGAGCGTATTAACGAATCCTCTCTTTAATACTCTTTCGACTAGCTGTGTTTATTACTCAATCTGTTTCTAAATAAGTGTCACTTTAGCCATTTAATTTTGTTTCAAAAAAAGTGTCATTCTACAATCCCAATGTAATTTTGTACATTAAATCTATTTTTTACCCTTTTGAATAACCAATAGTATTTTACTTAAATTATTTTCATTTAATTAAACATACATTAAATAGGTATATATTAGTCTATTATACAATTTTCTTAATTTATGTGCAAAGAGTCAAACTGACACTTATTTAAAAACAGAGGGAGTATTAATAACAAAGGACAGTTACCGCGTCTCTCCACTAAAACGACCTCCATTTGTCATCGACTCACCATCAAATAAGAAATATTTACTTTGACAGTCACAACTACAACTCAGAGTTTTCAATTACTCTAAAATAAAAGACACTTTGAATTTTCTAGACACATTCTACCTCTTGAATGACTATAACACCTTTTAATTACATTAACACCTCTTTAAACTAATTCACCAACCACAACTAATTAAATAAATAAATAAATATATATATATATATAGAAAGGCACATAAAAACACTCTCTTTTTCTTCTGGCTTCTCCTATTGTCTCACCTTTTTATCTCGACCATCTCTTAACAATCGAAAGGAGAAAGAGAGAGAACAATGATTTATTTTGTCTACAGTCCATATGTATTCTCTACATTTTTTTCTTTTAAAGTATTGTTTTTTTGGACTGATTATTTTTCCGATTCTGGGACCAAGCCGCCAGAATTTACCTTCCCCCAAGTTTTAGGTTATTGGGTGGCTACATCCTCATTTCGAACTGTCGTCTATTACCCGTCAGAAGAGTTTCTCGGTGAACCTATGGAGGAGACTGTAAACTTTGAGCATGATAAAATTTTCGTCACCGTTTTTGACTATTGAGGTATACAATATATCTGATCTCGATAGACTATAGCTCTGTTGCCAAGATTGTGTAATTCATAACTATTGGGATTTCTAACTTTTTTATGTTTTCTGAGGGAATTGTGGCTTAGGATGATGACAAAACTTGTTTTGCTTCCTGAAGTGAGAACCTCGAGTGTTTTGATATATGATGGATGATGTTATGTTTGAGTTTCAGTCCATTCACAAAACTCTGTCCACAATCATCCATCCACAAAGCTCTGTCCACAAACATTATTGGGATTTCTAATTTTAGATGTTTGAGTTTCAGTCAATCCACAAAACTCTGTTCACAATCATCCATCCACAAAACTCTGTCTACAATCATTTATTGGGATTTCTAATGTTTTATGTTTGAGTTTCAGTCCATCCACAAAACTCTGCCCACAACATTCATCCACAAAACTCTGTTCACAAACATTTATTGGGATTTCTAATTTTTTTATGTTTGAGTTTCAATCCATCCACAAAACTCTGTACACAATCATCCAACCACAAAACTCTGTCACAAGCTTATGTGTGAGAGCTTAGAGTAGAGGAGGATATCTTTCTACGGTGTGGAGGAGAAAACCGTGGATTTGTGTGGTTAGAGCTGGCGGGGAAGTTGGTCGGGGACCGTGGAAGATGTGGAGGAAGAGACGGTGGATGTAACTAAAGTGAGTTGTGTGGCTTTTGGGTTGTGAATGATTGTGTAGGGCTGACAGAGAAGATGGTCGGGGATAGTGGGAAGAAAGGACAGTGATGATTTGACGGTGGAGAAGGTGTGGATGGAAAACACAGTGGATGCAAATGAAGAAGATTTGTGTAGCTGGTGGATATGTGAGATGGTTGATGGCGTAGATGATGAAGCTTATGCGTGAGAGCATAGAGTAAAAGAGGAGATTTTTCTACGGTGTGGAGGAGGAGACCATGGATATATGTGTCTGGTGATTTGTGTGGCAAGAGTTGGTGGGGAGTGTAGAAAAAAATGTAAAATTTGATGATGGATTAGACAAAACTAGTGGTGGAGAAAAGAAGTTATAACTAACAGAATTTAAATGAACTTTAAAATCACGTGGCTCATAATTAATCTAACAAATAAACAAATCTAATATTAATTAAAGACTAACTAATAAAAAGCAATTTCTAATCACAAAGGTCCAACTATTTTTATAAATGTCAAAAGACAAAAATGTCATAAAACAACATTGAAAGAAGAGAATGTGCTTCTCTAATAGAAAGTGTTCTTTAAAATAAGAAGAAAGACAAATGTGTCTAATAATGTAAGTCTCTCTCATAACTAGGCCTGGGCGTTTTTACCCCATACCGAACTCTCTACCTAAACCCGAACCGAAAAAACCGAAACCGGATCTGAACCGTTATATAAGAATATCCGAATGGGACTTGAGAGCTTGATACTTTGGAGTATATGTATAACCCGAACCGAACCGAAATCCAAACTTGGATCCGACTATATCTGAAATTAGTGAAATATGTTACTATTTTTATATATGTTAACGAAATTTAGATGTTTTAGAATATTTTAAATTTTTAATAGATTATTTTATTTGTTATTTTGAATAACTTTTAACTAATTTATGTAGTTTGGCTTGTTTTTAGTTAGTTTTGTGAATAATTTAAATATTTTGAGTATTTTTTTTTAACAATTTTTTAAATTTTAAAAAATATTTTTCAACGATTTTATACATTGGTTATAACCCGATCCCGAACCGAACTTAGAGGAACCAAACCGAACCCGACCCGATAATTAGTAAAACCCGAATGGGACTTATGCACATGGTACCGAAAATCCAAAAATCAAAAACAACTGAACCGAATCCGACGGGGGCCCGAACGCCCAGGCCTACTCATAACTAGGCGTTCGGGTACCCCTTCGATTTCGACGATATTTCAAATTTTCTGAGTATTTCGGTGTAACAATATAGAACCCATTCAAATATTTTTATCTATCAGATCGGATGTAAATATTTTTAATTTGGGTTCACTTATTTCTTATATTTAAAATTTTACCATTAACTTAATTATTTTTTTTTAATTTTTAATAATTTGACCGATTAATATGTTTAAAGATAAAATTTGAAAATAGAAAGACACTAAATTAGTTATTATTTTAATATTTTTAAATATAACTTTTTAATAAATGAAAAAAGAAACTTACATATATTTTAAATGAGTAGTAAATTATTTTTTCTGTAATTATATGTACACTAGCTGATCCGCCCGCGCGGATGCGCATGTATAATTCTCATGCTTAATGATATAGGCAGTTCATATGTTGAGTGCTTCTAATTAAAATCTTAATATGAAAAATAGCCGACAATGAATCATAAATAAATTTATATCATAAGTAATCCTAATTATTAAAAAACCAAATTAAATATTAAAATTTACGTCGGCTATTTTTGTTGAAGAACCTTGATCTTCGTCTGACATTGAACTCGATGTTTTTTCTCTGCTTCTGGATGATGGAGTTCGTGCAAATTCTTCTGCTGCTTCGCACTCGTGATCCGAAAACTTTACAGTAGGCGACTACAAAAATAAACAACCGACAGTTTAAGTAATGTTATCAATGCATAATATATTTAATCACAAAAGAATACTACCATTATTATAGGCAGTTCTGCAAATTGTTCAATCATATATGCATCATCAGCCATTAATTCAACAACATAAGGTGAACTAATGCCTTTTTGATTCTTTGAGTCTATCTTGATCTTAAATAATAATCTCCTACCAACTTAGTCTGTTAGAGTTTGAGGAACTTCTTGAACCTCTGCAGCTTCTTCAATTAACTCTAAATCGGGTCTACCATTGAGTTTATTTACAGCTTCGTTAAACAAAATAAACTTTGTATCCGTTTCTGATTCACCAGAGACACGCAGAACCAAGAAGTAACTATAAAAAATAAAAAAGTATCAACTTAAGTAATAATTAATAAGATCATGCATGATGAATAGAAAATGTTAATACCTGTAGATAACATCTTTGATGTCATTGTGTTTAATACAGTTGTATCGAGGTTTATGATGAAGGCCATCATGCTCAACATCAGAATCATCTCCATATGGTTGAACTTTCTTTTTGCAAAGCTTACATGCAACATAGTACCATTTTTTTGACAAATCAGCAGTCTATTTTAGCAAAAACCACCCATTTTCCAACCTATAATTAAAGTAAATTAGATGTTGGAAACAATTATAAAAAAATTTAACATCTTGACAGAGAATTTTTTAGTTACCGATCTTGAATCAAGAATTCTTGCAATAGTTTTCTTTGTATTAATCACAAGCATCTCATTGTGAAGTGAAACTGCAGATCCAAATGAAACTTGACTGTCACTATGTGTGACCAATTGATTCCCGCATGATAACCTTCAGAACATAAACAAAAAAATATTATGACAACATTAAGACTTAATTTGAAGTAAATAATAATAGTAATATTAAATTAGTAGAGCAAGTGTGATATACATGGATGTAAACTTCTTCACTTCAGCAGTTTCTGAATTGAGAAAGATTTGCGTTGAGTTGAATATATTTGATATGGAGAAGTTACCTACATATTAATCAATGATTTGATCAAATATTTGTAAAAGATACTTCACAAAGATAGGTATAAATAATTTTCGAGTGTTATAGTTACCTTTGTATTCCTTGATGCATGCAAACTTAATGACACATATAACAATATATGTATTGTTCTCTTTAGTATAGTTCATCACTTTCTTGGCAAAGTCACTCCACAAAGTCCTTGTTCGATCACTCTTTGTACGTTTTATTTCTGCCAAAGCGGTTTCCCTCTTTTCCTGATATCTAGCTTGCTCCTTCATTAGATCTGAAACAGTGGGTATTTGTTTCTCCAATAGTTCAAGGGTCGATTCTGGAGGAAGGCTGGATGGAAGGATCGATTCTGAAGGCTTTTCCTGGCTCATAACTATACTCAGCTCTTTCAAGGAAGTACCACCTGCGGACAAATCTGTTGCTTTACCCCCCTTGGGCAAGCTCTTCTTTGCCGCGTTCGACCTATTAACACTTTCACTTTCTCCCCCAGCAAGATCCATTTCAAATTGTCCAGTCAATTTATTGTTGCGAGAGGATGTTTTACTAACCCCGGGTTATTGCGTTTTAGGTTGAGATTCTTGAGATGATTCCCCTTTCCCTTTTTTGATGATACCAAAGATATTTTCCACAGCTTCCACCTTTTCAGACAAATACTTGATCTCCGTAAGGCACGTCCCAAACCCTTGACTCATGGCATCGAGTACGTCCTTAAAAAAATCCTTAAAAGAATCCTTCACGATTCTTTCAATATCCTCTTTGGTCAGCCACCAACATTGGTACTCACCTCTGTACGAACCTCTTCCTCTTCCTCTACTTCTGTAGGTAGCTCTTCACTATGCTCTTTACGAGATTTTTTAAGAGGTCTTGGACTGTCTTCCTTCACCAGAACTATCGCTTTCTTTGCTTTCTTTGCTGCCGGCTTTGTATTGATTCAAGTACCGGTGACTTCCCAGAAATCCATGATCTACTTCCACGGTCTCTGATTATACATGAGTTTAATTATGTTCTCCGCGGTCGGGTCATTAGCATCAGCGTCCCTTTTTGGAAACATTTCACCAATGTCATTCTCAACAAACTTCATCACCTCAGTCTGCAGTAAATAGAAGATATAAACTAAGATATTTGATGGATTCAGAAAGATAGAAAGAAAAGACTTCGCAGAAAACTTATGATTAAGTGGTCAGGAAAGTCTTATAGCTGGATGACTTAGCAGACGACTTAATCATAAGTCGTCTGGAAAGTGTTCTAGCTGGATGACTTAGCAGACTACTTATTATTAAGTCGTCTGGGTAGTCTTCCCGAACGACTTAATTATAAGTCCTCTACTAAGTCGTCCAGTTGGAAGACTTTCCAGACGATTTAATCTTAGGTTTTCAAAAAGTATTTTGGTTCGAAGTAAATACATGTCTCAATAGCTTCTTTAAAGCATCTTCGTCCTTTGCCACCTTGGTAAGCTAGTATCGGTGGAGACGGTCTGTTTGGTATTGGATTACCATAAGTAGCACCCAATTCCGGCAGAGTTGTGTACACCAAAACCTGGAGAGCTTGTATAAACCCATCAATGGTGTAACAACCCGATATATCATTGCCCTTCACAGAGTCCATCAACACCTTAAACGCGACTCTCCGCCATGGATAATTCTCAAACCGTTCTAGATCCATCACTAGCCTTGCTAGACTCGCCCGTGTAGGGGTTGAAAACTTTCTCCCTTCAATGTATCCAGTGAAGATGGCAAGGTACCCGAGCCACTTGCGATCATCCGGAGACCACCCTTCGCATCTCTCAAATGCTGCTATTATTTGATCAGTAGTTGGCCCAGTTTCGACATTAACTCCCAACAACTCCCAGAAAGCAGCCAACTCCTTTGTAACAGAACAATTTGGTCTCTCAAGGTCCTCGATGTACTCGCAGTTTAGACCAGTGAGGTATTCAAACTCTAATAGTGAAAACTTCAAAGGTTGTGGACCAACAAGACTCCACAGCTCATACTTCTTCTTTATTTCGAGCTGGAAACCGAGCATGTAGTGACCCAGCCTTGAAGCCCATTCAAATTCCAGCTCTTGGAACTTTATGAAAACTCCCAACTTAGACTCTTTCAGCTCTTCATATTCGTCATCATTAAGAGCATTCCTTAGAGCAGTATCCAACTTCGTACATGAATGATACGAAATGCTATCCAATGAAGGGGGCTCTTGCCCTACTGTATGTATCCTACGGATGAGTTCTGGAATATCCATTTTTTATGCAAAACAATCAAAAACAACCATCTCAAACGCACAACCATCCAGTATAACATTTTAATTATAAGTCTGGAAGACTTTCCATACGACTTATAATTAAGTCGTCTGTCAAGTCTTCGAGTTGAAAGACTTATATTTAAGTCGTCTGGAAAGTCTTCCAGGTGGAAGACTTTCCAGACGACTTAACTATAAGTATTTCAAGACTTCCAGTAGAACATTGGAAAGCTGACCTGAAATTCGGAGAAGATATAGTCGCCTTCGGCACAGCGGTTATAGATCTACAAAAATAGACGCGAAAAAAGAAGCACGATGAGAACGACGGTGAGAACAATTTTTTATGTTCTTCTTTAGATATAACTTACCGGCGGCAGAGTTCAACAAAACGCCTCTAAGAGAAACGACGCTAGGGTTTACAGAAAAATGGCGCTAGGGTATACAGAAAAACGGCGCGAGGGTTTCCTCTCATATCTGAAATAGAGGAAGTGGAGGTGAGAACATTGATAACGATGGTGGTAAGGCGGAAAGAAAACCGGCAGTGAGAATGATGTATTAGAGAGATTCGACGGAAATCGCCTTTGAAATCACATTTGAGAGAAATGGTGTTAGGGTTTTCTAAATTTCGCGAAAACGTGAGTAAAAAAAACATCTTATATATGTCCTGTAAAAAATCCGATTAGGTTTAAAAGTAAATTGGTAAAATCAAAGGTTCGGTCCGGTTTGGACGACTTATTATTAAGTCGTCTGTTGATACTATACATCAGACGACTTAGTAAGTCGTCTGCCTTAAATATATTTACCAGACGACTTAATAGTAATTCGTCCTGACCCTAAACCATAAACTAAATTGACTAAATTAACTAACTAACCACGTTATAATACATTTATGTAAATTTGAATAGTGTTTACTATACACATAAATAAACACACTTAGGTAAATTTTAAATTTTTCAAAAAAACATTTATGCTTTCGAAAATCTAACCCTAAGAAACATATACAATACTACAACATATGTTGGCAAAACCTAAACCAAAGAATATAATGACTCACTACTTTCACTCATCTATTTTGAAAACAATTAAATTTTGTTATATCTTAATTTGTATCTCTTAAAATATATGTTAATTACATGATTTCAATTTCTCACTTATCTTAATATTTTTTACAAAATTTTTAAATTATTTTTAAGAATAACCATACTAGACGACTTTCAACTAAGTCGTCTGGATAGAATAGTTACGGGGTTAGAAACGTAAAAAAAAATTGGGTTTTTTGTTTGTTCACAAGGGGCTGATTGTAATTTCAATAGCCTTTAAAGTTACTTTTGCATTAGATTCATGTTTGGGTTTACTTTTGCATTTGAAACCAAGTTTTGAGTCATATTTAGCAAATTTCCCTGAAATTTAATTGGAGTTATAAGCAATGACCATTATAAAATTCCATTTTTATTGGATCAAAAGGATCTTACTTGGATTATCTCTTTTTCCCCTTTCATTGCATAATATATCTATAGATAGTATTTCCCAAGTAGCATACCATATGTTTTCTGGAGTTATGTTACTGTTTGAAAGCAACATTGTACAAAATAGATGACGAAGAGACTTTGCTGAAGACCAGATACTTGCTTCTTTAATAGCTTGAATATATTCTTTATCAGCGTCAGTCGGAACCTGCAGAAGATTGTATTTTTCCTCAACTGAGTCAGTGTTGATCAAAAGAGAAGAAGACATTACAATGATGCTTTGTTTTTAAAAGGATCGCAAGGTTTAAATTATGAGAACTAACATAATACGATTTGTGTTGCCCTTTTGCATTTATCTTTTAATGAGAAATATACATATATAAACATTTTAGGAAAAAGATAAATTTAAAATATCCTAATATATCATATAAGGGGATATTTAAATCTGAAAGAAAAAGACAATTTGAAATTTAATTGAAATTATAAGCAATGACTATTATAAAATTATTTTTTTATTGGATCAAAAGGATCTTAATCCTTTTGGTATCCACTTAAAGTCCAAATGCAATTGAATAGACTGAAGCCCATCCGACGTGGTTTAATGAAATGTTGTGATTGGAGGGATTTAATACGTTTTGCAAGGTTTTAGATTTTTGTTATTTATAAAGAATGAGAATAAAGTATAGGGTAAAGGGTAGAAAATTGAAATAGTGTAGATATTTTGAAATTTAATATTTTATAAACAAATATGATATTAGACAATATGTATATATAAATATATGTATAGATAAATAGCATTCACAGATTTCGTCTCGAAATTTAGATGATTTTAATACTGTGAAAAAATATATTTTTTCCCTTAGATAATCATGACAAAATAGATAAAGAAACTTGCTTCTAAACCACTCTATGCATATTAAAATGTCATCTCAATTGTGTAATATATAGTTGTATAACATACACTTGTCTAAACTAAATATTCCTTCTTGTTTTTGGATGCAACAAAAAAAAAAGAAAACCCTAAGAGGCAATTCATAACACATAATCATAAAGTTCACCCTAAAAGATGCGTAAAGCCAACATGCATATGTTTGTTTCAGATTTTTTGCAAAACGTTTAACACACAAAATATAAAGTTATAGATGAAACAAAAGCAGGAAAGCAAACTTATATAACATAGAGTTAAGTTCAAAATAAAACATAATTATACATTAGAGAGAGAAGTAGTTCAAACTTAGATCCGAATTTAAAAAAAAATTCAAACATTACCAAAAGGATTGAGATTTGACAGAAAGAGAGATTAGTCATACATCCAACCTTCACCCAACTTGAACCAGTTGAGTTCTGGAACATGGATAGCCTTGAGGCTTTTCTTTGCAAAAAGCAGCTCGGCTTCAAGTGTCTGCTTCTCTTCTATCACACCAAATACTTTCTCCACTGTCTTCAGAATCTCGAGCTTGGCCTTGATTTCTTCCACCCTAATCCTCGCTTCATAGTATTCCTCGAGAGCAGTAGTATGCTCCTTGCACATGTAAAGAATTGCCCGGTGATGCGTTGTGGTTTCCCTCTTGCCTCTCCTGAATGCTTCTTCCAGAGAAGATCCATAGTCTTCTACCACTGGTTCCTTGAGCTTTAGGTTAGTAGGATTCGCCATGGAGATTCTGATCTTGTATTTTAGAATAGGCAACATCGCTTTAAAAATATCCACATGACTTATCTATATCAATGTTCCAAAATGCACATAAGAATCGAATAACTTATATATATATATCAATGTTCCAAAATGATATTACAAAAAGTAGTTAAAGCTGAAACAATACACCTCTACCAATATAACATTGAAATATCCACATAACTTATCTATATCAATGTTCCAAAATGATATTAGTATATTACAAAAAATAGTCAAAGCTGAAACAATACACATTTACAGATATAACATTGAAATATCCACATAACTTATCTATATCAATGTTCCAAAATGTACATGAATGAATCTAATCTAAACCAATATTCGGGAACAATAATCCAATAACTAATTATGAAAACTGATCTAGAACAGTTTTCTAAACAGATTATGAAAATAAACAAATCTAAACAGAGGGTAGAGAGGTAAATGAATACCTAAACTAAAGGTAATCTGAGAGTATTTTTATGCATGTATAAATAAATAAATTAGGTTATAATCTAAAATGAAATGAATATCTAAACGATTACAACATAAAAGCATATATCTATATGTAACAAAATTCTGTTCATCAAAAATATTTGATTTTATATTTAGACTTATACAAAATGACTAAGGTGCTAGACGTTATAAACATATCGGAATATTTCATAACAATAAAATCCAAATATAAGCATACTTTAGAAGTAGTATCAGCATAGAAAACTCATCTATGAGAGTATATATAGGAGAAAAGTAAACGAGATCGTTGTGTTTTAATAGAGAGATATGACGAGTCGTGATGGGAAGAAATTTTCATTCCTATTAGTAATTCCATTTTTTTGAAAAAAATCTATTTGTCTTTATCTATTAATGAGAAATATACATATATACACAATTGAGTGGAAATAAAATTAACATATATATAGCATATTTTGTCAAAATTACGTGAGAATCATATATTATCATATATTTTCCATATATTTTTGTTACCTTTTCTTTTTTTTTTTCTTTGGGTTTTGTAAAAATTTATTTTGTGTACGTTTATCTAATGTGTAAAAAAAAATATGATATTGAACAAAATATATAATTGATAATCTCATAATTTGTGAGTTTTAAATGATATCAATAATGTGAAATAATAGAATACGTAATTTTTTTTTCTTATACATAATCATCACCAACATTGATGATTACCTAAGCTTGCTTGTAGATTGCTTCAGCTATGAATTGTCTAATCAAAACATGGGTAGTTGTGATTTTTTTGACAAAATCAAAGAATATTGTATCAGAACTCTATATTGTATTGAAATATGTTGGCCACAAAATGAAGTTGAAAGTGTTTTTCACCCATTTAATTATTATCATATTTTAATTTTCTGATTTGGTGATTGTGTGTCGAAGTATGCATTTTTTTTTAACTTCTGATTTGTAAAATAAATTGTTGAATACTGTAAAACCAGATGGTTACATATTTAAATACAATGGTATAATCTCTCAAATATTTTAAATTATGTTGTGATATTTCTATAAGTTTTTTGTAATCCAATAGAACCATAAATTAACTACTATCACAACATGATGCTAAAGTACATTGCTTGCAGAGGTAGTATTCTTCAGAGTTGTAATAATATTGCTAATAGTAATGCTGGTCATTATTAGAGTTAAACTGCTCCATAGCTTTCCATCAAGTAGCAGTGTATTGAAAAAAAAGATTCGTTTGAATGTTGTTTCATTAGAGATTAACAATCGTATATCAAAGCTTTATCAGTGAATTAAGATACAAAGACAAAGAATTACATAGGAAATAAGAGATATCTGAGACAATAGCTCTTCTAAAGGATGCATAACCGATATAACCGACCTAATAGAACGGACACCATCTTACTACCATGAACATCAAAACCATCTCGAGATAAAATCTCTGAGCCAATGTGACATACATTATTTGAGGTATAGGACCGACTCACAACTCTTCCATTGGATGCTTCAACGATCTCCCATCACAAACCGACCGAACATAACAGACAATCATTATAGAAGAGATTCAAGCTATGATGAAATTAGAGAGCCAATGTGTTATATATTATTTGTGGTATAGGGTTTTATTCGTGTAAATATAAGAAAAGGGATGATTCATATTAGAGTTTTAAATATGCCATGTTATATTAGGGTTTCAAATATGACTTGTCATATTTTTGAATGTGTCATGTCATATTTTTTGTTGGTGAGAGTCATTCGAGACTATGTCATGTCATATTTTTCTTCAAAATCACTTTACAAATATAGTCTAGGGGATTACTTGATTTTGAGCGATAAACAACATCTATATAAATATTTTGACAAAATAAAAGAGCTAAACTAAGAATATATGATTAAGTATATATATGTTTAGCTATTTTTGGATATCCATTCGGGTTAGAATATCCAATTTCTCTTAACTCAATATCCATTCAGTATTTTACTACTTTAGTTTGGATTTCGAGTCGGATTTTCGGGTCAGTTCACTATAGATTTTGATATCGGATAAAATGTCCACCCCTAATAATAACGTTACAAGTGTTTAAACGATGTTGTTTATCAACTCACCATGAATTGACAGTATGTGTCACAAAGTTTCTTTTGTGTCATTTACTAGATTATATAATGAGTTTAAATGAATTAACCGTTTCCGAGAAAACTAGTTGAGAGTAGCCTTGGATTTTCTTTACCGTAAACCGAACTTTCTACCTTAATCCGAACTGAAAAAATTGAAATCGGATCCAAACTGTTATATATAAAAATTCTGAATAGAACTTACAGGTTTGGTACTTTGGAATATGGATACAACCTGAACCGAACCAAAATCTAAACTTGGATTTGACTATATCCGAAATTAGTGAAATATATAACTATTTTTACATACGTTAAGATAATTTAGATGATTTAGAGTATTTTAAAGATTTTTATAGTTTATTTTATTTGTTATTTTCAATAACCTTTAGTTAGTTTAGATAATTGGATTTAGATTAATTTATATATTTTAAATATTTTTTTATCAATTTTTTTAATTTCCGAATCTAGAAGGAACTGAGTCTTATCCAATCTAATAATTTGTAAAATTCGAATGGGACTTGTGAGCTACCAATAATTCAAAAAGGCCCGAACTTCCAGACCTAAATGGGACTATACAGTTGTACCACTAGCTATATACCATTTCCAATACCGCATTTTCTGAACTGAATATTAGGATTCCATGTTCAAAATCGGGACATCGATGTTCTATCCATTTTCAAAGTCACCACCGATCGAACTCTATGGAATAGCTCGGGACATCGATGTTCTATCCTCTTTGTTTGAATGTTGTTCATTTTCCTTTATCTCTCGTTCTCGCAATGGTGAGGCAGATTTACTTGCTAAATCTGTGCTCTGTAATGTAGTGCATCCCACAGGATAACATTCTTGTGATGTTTTATAATATGAGTATTTGTGTTCAAAAAAAAAAATAAATAAATAAATTTTACCCCCAAATCATCGTGTTAGTATCCTAATTTCCCTTTTGCATCTCTTCAAGAAAACTGTAAACTAAAAAGTTTTGAGATTTGATAGGGAAAATTGCATAAAAAATCATGAAGTTGGCAAAAGTTTGCACTTTAGACCTTGAGACTCAACTGCTAACACTTTAAACAATGAAACTTGTAACAATAACATATTAAACATCGAACTAACTTATTTGTTGCACACGTCAGAATTGTGACCTGTTACTATTCACTAGCAGGTAAAAAACGGTGACGTGGCGGTTTACCTAAAAAAAATTAATAAAAACAATTAAAATTAGATAAAATATCAATATAAATTCTAAAATTTGATATAAATTCAGGAAAAAATAAAGAAAATAAATAAAATTCCGAAATTTTAAAACATAAAATAAATTTATAAATTTAAAAGTTTATAATAAAAATAAAAATAAATAGTAAAAATTGATTAAAACTAACAAAATAGTAGAAATAATAAAAAGAAAAAAGTGTAAAAATCGATAAATATAGAAAATAGGAAGTTATAAAAAGCTGGAAAACAAATAAAAAATCAAATATCAAAATATTAAAATTGAAAATGAAAAGTACTTGACCCAAACCTCTTTGATGTTTAGGTAGACATATAAGCGTTCAGATGTCCGGGTTCAGATCGTAGAGATTTGGATGCAAAACTTTTGCCAATTTCATGGGGTTTTTGCCAATTTTTCCACTTTCATGGTTTTCTTTTTTTTCCAGATTTTTTTCTTAATTTAAATCAATTTGTATAATTTATTTTTGTTATTATTATTATTTTCTTGAGTTAATAAATTTATTTTTTCTTGATCTTTATTAGTTTTCAATTTAAGTATTTTAGTTTTTTTTGAATTTTTGAATTTTTGAATTTTTATTTTCCCTGATTTTATTAAATTTCCTATTTTTATCGATCTTTTTGAACTTTTTTTATATTTTTATATTTTTAAGGTTTTATTTTTTTCCAAATTTTTATTAATTTCCTCTTTTCTAATTTTTATCGATTTTTACACTTTTTTAATTTCTATATTTTTATTATTTTTACTCTTTTGTTAGTTTTAATAAATTTTGATTTTAAACTTTTGAATTTATAAATTTATTTTTATTTTTTTAACTGCTGAATTTCTTTATTTTATTTATTTTTTCCTGAATTTATATCAATTTTTTTAATTTTATTAATTTTTTATCTAATTTATTTGTTTTTATTAATTTAAAAAAAAAATAAACCGCCATATTACCATTTTTACTCACTAGTGAACAGTAACAGGTCACAATTTTTACATGTGCAATAAATAAATTCTATGTTTAATATGTTATTGTTACAAATTTCAATGTTTAAAATATTAGCAGCTGATCTTCAGGGTTTAAAATGCAAATTTTTGCCAACTTCATGATTTTTAATGCAATTTTCCCTATTTGATACGGAAAGATTTGAGGTTTTTTTCTTTTTCAAAAGTGAGGTAGAGCGTATTAAAGAAGCCTCTCTTTAAGACTCTTTCGACTGTGATTATTTAATAAGAACGTTACAAGTGTTTACCCACTAACGACGCCGTTGGCCATCAACTCACCATAAATGACCGCAGGTGCCGCACTTTACATACGAACAATAATATGTGTGGAAAATAATTAAAGTATCAGAGTACGGATGTGTGTATGTGTCACTTAGAGCTTGGCGCCGAATATGGGCTTAATCGTCACCGCTTCTTTAAACAGCGCTTCTTGCGCCAAAGATACCACCAGCTGCCACATGAATTATTATCAACAATTCCACTCTCTTTGCCAAAAACAATAAGAAGAGATGCGTTTTGTATTCAACGGTAAAAACCATCTTTTAACAATGATTTTGATGATTAATATAAGCGTGAGAAGCACACTAGGTTCTTCTTTCTTCAATGTTCTCTTCACTCTTAGTATATGTCTATTTAATAGGAATAAAACTGTAAAAGGGATGCATACAGGCTACAGCATACCTCTCCCTTTCTGTTGAACATTTTTCCAGTGGTAAGACCGCGACTCTCGAATGCTGTGGGGTTCACCATCTGCATAGCAGCATTCATCTTGTATTAAGTATATTTGTCTCCTCCTCAGTTTTGACAATTACACTCAAATGTTGCGGCTTACTTATTTTTTTAACTGTAAAGCTAAACACAAACAAAACCAATACACATGGAATTCTAATCTTCACATGAACAAAACAGCAGCTAAACAAGCAACTAGTTCCAAATTCTAATCTTCACATGGATGTACAGTTTATGGCTCAACTCAAATCTATGCCAAGTGTTTTTAGGCAATTTGAGTTTCAGTTTACCAGAACCAAGCATTTGGATTTCTATCAGTAATAGCTAATTCATTCTTCAGAAAATCACTTTTACTTACCACAAAGAGCATCCAGTCATCAGCTCTTAGAGGTCGGTGGAACCACAACCTGCAAAATTTAGTAACAAAAGTAAGAAACAATCCTTCGTGTATAGTAAAAATGTAGAATTTGCAGTTATACATATACATATGAGTTACGTGGTTTCTAGATAATAATGCAATACACACTTGGTTAAAAAGCTTACGAGTGGTCCAGGCTAAGAGCAGCTGAACTCATGCCCTTTCTGCGGTGAGGGTTTAAACCGATACACGCAAATATCAGATCTGAAGCAAATGCTACCACACATCTGTGCAACAGTGGTATTCATATATATATATTCAGTTTCCTAACTATAATCAAAAGCTTTTCGTAAACACTGCACTAGATATATGTCCAGTCCAAACAAACTCCCAAGTTGTCAGTGACCAAAGATAATCTTTGCTTTAATAGTCTGGATCTGGATAACACTTAAAAATATTTCATTTGGTGATACTAAGATACCGTTCATCTGCTTAGATATGTTAAAATGCTTTTAAAATCTTTTAGATCACATGAATACCACTTTTCTTCACTTTTATACCACTGAAGTAGAGTTGCTCACCGGTGTAAAGCTTGGTCATCAGAAAGTTTCCCCCTTGCTTTAAACCAATAGTTCAACCTGCTAGATGACTTAAGAAGTTTTCAGTTTTTTTTTTAGTAAACACATAAACATTTAGCTTTAGTGGTTAAGAGTGACGAAACGAATATGCCCCATAGTGGTACACAATATAATTGGTTTATCAGGAATAAGAAATGATGACCTTGGAGGAGACTTGGTATGTTCTGTATAATAACTTGGCTCACAAAACCGAATGTCTATAGGCCATGTGAGAATTTTTTCAGTAGCAATTTTGTTTCGGTAATCCCTGAAATGAGAATAAAAAAAAGTGATTCGCTATGAGCTCTTGAAATAACTGCTCTGGCACAATACTTGCACATACCTAGGTAGCAGAGGTTCAGTTATACGCCGGTCAATCATCTCCTCCCTTGTTACAAGCTGCAGTAGATAGCGATGAAAATAACGATCTAGCCATTCGTTATAAGCCTCAAAGTATGGAGACATGATTTACCGTTTCAGGAGGTGACATTTGAGGCATGTTCGAGTCTTGGTGATCGAAACCTTGTTGCTCTCTCTGTAAAACCAGAGAGAAAAGAAGAAGTTAAAGCTTGAAAATCGATTCTCATGAGACGTAATATGACATGAGACCTGAAATGATGCAAACAAGGTGAATATGGTTCTCCCTTTCTGTCTTGCATCTACTCTCCGGGTGGCAAAGTTGTTGCCATCACGTAAGAGGTTAACTTCATATATGATGGGAACTGCAAGAGTTAACAAACTATGATAATATTTAAAGTGTGAAGGAGCCCAGAGAAAAATTGAGAAAACAGCAGGAATGGTTCACTAGTAGGGAGGAAAAAGCAATTGGTTGCTAGCAAAATGACATTTGAGATAATGTCCTTACTAGTTATATCTCCAACAAGTAGGAAGTAGGAGTGTAAATTATGGACTATCTTGGTAGATTCAACAGTGTTTGTTGCTGCAGCAAGTGCCTGCGAAGTATATAGCCAGTTGTGTCACAGTGATTACTAGTCATCTAGTATTGGTTGGTTATAAATAGCACATAACAAGCTATATATGAAAATCAACAGGGTTAGAAATACATGAGAAAATTCAATACCTGACCAACTAATTGCCCTCCAAAAACCTTACCAAAGGTTGGAGCATCGGGTAGAGTGAACCCACGAAAAAGATTCAACTACAAGAAAGAAAGAAGCACAACAAAAATAAAATATGTAGAAAATGTGAGATAGATAAAAGAAGGGTAAAAAGAAAAGGGAAGTTTGAGGGGGGGTGAGTATATATATATACATCTAATGTTTCCAAAGACAAAATACGTTCCGCAAGACATGGTGTCTGGAGTTCCTTGTCTGAATCCGAGATGGGGTTGGTCTCGAGCAAAGAACAATGGTGAGACATGAGAAGTAAGCAGGTAAGCTGAAAAGAAGATTCATAGAAAGGAAGTGGTCAGTAGCAATGCTATTGCTCATGAGCTCAAAGGAACCAAGACAGTATAAATAAAGAAGAGAGGAATACCTCTGAGACAGCAACAACATCTGCTGAGTAAACATTCCCAAAAATACCTGCATAAGGAATAATAGATGGAAAAAACTAACTAATTCACAGAACCCACAAATCAAAGATGAAGAATGGGCAGAATTAGATAAAGAAAGAAGGATCCTCTCACCACGGCCGAAGAAATCAAATTGTTTCAAGAGGAGATCCGAGGAGTCGTGATCTCCGGCTAATCCCATAACCTGAGCCTGCAAAAACAAAAGAGAGAAAACAAAACAAAAAAAATATCACACAAGTATCTTAAGACAGAAGAAGCTAGCTAGGCTTCAGAGAAGAACCTGTCCTTGAAGGAGAAAATAAACTCCCTCCACCTCCTCATCCCTACGAACCACATAATCCCCTCTCTCTGCCAAGCACACACATTATCACTGCCTCTTACAACACTCTCTCAAGAACATAACGAAATTCCCAATAAAAATAAACAGAGAATAATATTAGACATGACACTAACCGTAACGCTTGAACACAGCGACTTGGGCAATTCTGTTGAGAGAAGAAGCAGTTAACCGATGCAACAAGGGCAACTTCCCAAGGAACTCCACAACTGCAAATTACCATACCAATCATGAAAAATAACAAAATTCTCAGAGCAGCTTCACTTTATTCAAATCAAAACAGAGTAGTAGTAGTAGCCTTAGTAGGATCTGAACCTGATTCAGTAGTAGTGTTCATGGTTGAACGTTTGAGAAGCAGCCGGCAAAGTCAAAGTCAATTCAATCATCCAAATTCCAACCAACGGATTTGGTGGGTGACGTTGAGTTAAATAATTATCGCCTACACTTGGGAGTTGGGTGTAGGAAACGTGTTAATCATGTTCCCATGAGCTTGGACAAATTTAATGGGCCTTAAACTTTAAAAAAGCCCATATACTTTTCATGACCCGACACGAGGCGTGGGATGTTAATAGAAACAGCACGTCTTTTCTTTATTTAGTCCTCCAGACTCTTCTCCGCACTCTTGTTAATGGAATCTTCACAGCATCTATCTCTCTTTGGTGAGTTTAATTAGTTAAATTCTTCTTATTACAAACTCTCCTCTTTTCTTTTCTTCATCGGTTCTGTCTGTAAACTACTTCCACGAACTTGGGTTTGACTTCACCTTTTTTGCTTTGATAAATCATTTCACACTTTGTCTTCTCTCTCTCTCTCTAACTAGTGTTTTAATTTTGTCTTCTTCAGCCCCAGATCACTTTGATGTTTGTTTCTCAGTTACTCATCATAGTTTCCAGCACAAAATCCTGAGATCCGACCAGCTTATGATCCTCTCTCTCTCTCCTTAGAGCCACACTTACTGATCAATCTCCCATCAGTAGCTTCTCTCTGAAAAAAAATCCGATCCCATTGCTCATCTTTGTCAAAATCTGACTTCGGAGCGGATATATATAATGCTTGATTGCTTCCATGTCAATACTGTGTTGTGTTCCTGTAATTGAATGTGTATACTGCTTGGGCTGTTCCCACTGGCTATGGAAGAAATGTATGTACTCAGCAGGCCACGAGAGCGAGAGTTGGGGATTAGCCACTTCTGACGAGTTCGTCCCCATCCCTAGGCTCTGCCGTTTCATCTTAGCCGTCTACGAGGAGGATCTCCACAACCCCATGTGGGCACCTCCTGGTGGTTACGGCCTTGACCCACATCAAGTCATCCTCAAGAAAGACTATGACCAGACTCAAGGTCGTGTCACCCCTTACATGATCTACTTGGATCACGATAATGACTCTGTTGTCTTGGCCATTAGAGGGCTTAACTTGGCTAAGGAGAGTGATTACGCAGTTCTGCTTGATAACAAACTTGGACAGACTAAGTTTGATGGAGGTTATGTGCACAACGGGTTGTTAAAGGCTGCCATGTGGGTTTTTGAGGAGGAGCATGAGGTTTTGAATAGATTACTTGAGGAAAACCCGAGTTATTCTTTAACGTTTGTTGGGCATTCTCTAGGTGCAGGGGTTGTGTCCTTGTTGGTCTTGTTTGTGGTTCAGAACCGGAGTAGGTTAGGGAACATAGAGAGGAAGAGGATAAGATGCTTTGCTATTGCTCCTCCAAGGTGTATGTCTCTCCATCTTGCAGTCACTTATGCTGATGTCATCAACTCTGTGGTTCTACAGGTAAAAAGATGATTATATAGATTGTCATCCATTGATGGTCTTCTGATCCGTTTTTTATAAACCAGGATGATTTTTTACCTCGGACTACCACGGCTCTGGAGGATGTCTTCAAGTCAATCATCTGGTAAGAAAACTGTATTGATTTCAAAACTATTTACTAGCATCAAGTGTAGAAGGAGAAAACAATAGTCTGATGGGTCATGTTTTACATGTTAAAGCTTGCCATGCCTGTTGTGTCTCACATGTGTGAAAGATACATTCACATTCGAGGAGAAGAAGCTTAAGGATACCAGGCGTCTATATGCCCCTGGTAGATTATACCACATCGTTGTGCGCAAGCCCTTGAGGTATTTAAAACTTGTATTTCATAATCATTTCGTCAACTCAAGTTTCATCAAAGTGAAAACCATATGCTCCTTGGTGCAGATTAGGAAGATATCCTCCTGTTGTGAGGACAGCTGTTCCAGTAGATGGGAGGTTTGACCAGTTAGTTCTCTCATGTAATGCGACAGCAGATCACGCCATCATCTGGATTCAAAGGGAATCACAGAGAGCTCTCGATGTAAGTACAGTACTTTGCAATGTGTTTTTGCTTCAGCTTCTGGAGATGTTGATTTCTGACATGTGAACATTTTCAGTTGATGCTGGAAGAGGACCAAGTTATGCAGATACCTGTGGAGCAGAAAATTGTGCGCCAGAAATCAGTTGTTGAGGATCATGAAGAAGAATACAGAGCGGCTATCATGAAGGCGGCTTCTCTGAACATACCCATGTCTCCATCACCATCATATGGAACATTCCATGATACAGAAGAAGGAGAAAGCTCTGCAGGAGGATCACTCAACGAAGGTTCCCCATCCATGTGGTCCTTCAAGGGAATGAAAAGAAAATGGAATCAGTTCGTAGATCGTCATTTTCCTATGGATGATGATGACAGTGGACATATGAGATTCAAGAAAGAGGAATCTTAAACTTTGTTGTGTAGGTAAAAAAACACTAAATCTTGTTATAGGTGGTGTACATGTAGAATGTAGAGATATAGAATCAGAAAAGCATAGAAGTAGATTGTCGAGAGATTAAGAATTTTCTTCATTGATTTTGCGATATCTGATGTGAAGATATTGCAGTACCTTCTGTGTAGTAGAGCTTGTTCTGTTGCTTTCTAGTATTGTTGTATACAACTACAAAATTGGTTTTGACTCCATCCGACAGTTTCACTCGAGTTTGGTCCCTTGGGGGATCCACCCATGTTGTGCAGGGTATGAAGGATACCTCAGCTCTAAGGATTTTAGTTTCAGTGATTATTTATCCTCACAGAACTGATCAAACTCCAACGGCATAGCACCAGAAAATATGAAGAGTCCTCATTACAAAGTGATTTTCATGTGAAGCCCTGCCCTGTTGTTGCCTAAACTTAGGAAGCAACAGGTTGAGAGCTGGTGTTAGAAACTGGTCAAAACAGCCAGAGCATTCCTGCCTCTTAAAACATGTTGCTTACCATTCCCCAAGTAAGGCATACATGATTGTTTTGGACCAGTTTCTCTAACCCACTCGGGCAGTTAACTGTATATGAAAGTCATCTCCAACACTGCCTCAAGGCCCTAACCTGAAGTCAAGAAGAAGAAGAACAAAGAAACAGTTCTTCATCTCAAGTCTACAAATCATTTCAATCGGCTGAGAATTGAGACTCGGTGAACTGAAGTAGGCAAAATTATTCCTAGTAAATTTGTAGTTTTGTTTGTTAAGATAAATGCATATGATGAATAGTCGAAGCTCGCAAATCATCTGAAAAGTTTGTTTTAGCCACTCTACCTATACATGGGCCTCCACAATTCCTCACCATCAACATTAACTGACTCAAAGAAACTCCTACTAGGCCCACAAAGTTAATATCTCTCAGGTCTTAAAAAGAAAAAGCCTTAATGCGCTCGTAAACTATATTTATATACGTCTCCATTTTATGTTTTCCTTTAATTCATGTATGTTATCATGTATCATGTATGTATCACGTATGTTATAGACCAATGTGAATTACCAGTTTCTATGTTGTATTTTAAACTGTTTGATTGTTCTTACACGAATGTATGGACATTATTTTAAAAATAAAATAAAAAATTAAGAAAATAATTGACATAAACGATGTATTATCTGAAGACGTGCAAAGTCATGGGAAAAAATAGTACAAAAAAATTGAATGTCAGTTGTGTCGCCTGTAATCAATGCCTGTGTCCCTGCGTTTTAACAAAATAATTGAGGCTTTAAATTTTTCAATTTCACTATATTTATCGTGGCATCACTCTCTTGCAGCTCGTACCTATGAGTGTTTTTTGGTCTTTTATTGTGGTTTCTGTTTGGTGTGTATAGACTTTTAGACTATAGTATATGATTTGTTATACGTACATTGACTACTGTAATAAAATTAATTTATAGACTTTCAGACTACGATTTTAAATTATTATTTATGAAAGAAAAGTCTACATATTCAGTACTATTGGTTTTAAATACATAATATAAAACACACAAATACTACAGTACTATATGATTATAGTGGTTTTTTTTATTATAGTGGTTATGTTGTGACAGAAAGGAATAGTGTATAGAATTAAACACAAAGTTTTGTCGTCAAGGAAATTAATGCATGCAACCACAAGTGGTGCGTTACTAAATTGTGTGGGATTCGTGGATAGAGATGGTTCAATTATTATTTTCACCAGTACTCTCTCGTGCCTTTCCAATTTATACTATTTTTTACTGCTTGGACTTCACACAGAATAGTACCTTGAAATTAGAAACAAGAAAAATAACGTCGATCGTTATTTGATGTTCTAGAAACCTGAACACTGCTGTGTATTTGTTTCAATATTTTAATTTGACGTCTTTATTTTTGTCAACTTTAATTTGACGTCTTAGTAGTATCTTTTATGGAATTATTCGGATAAAATGCGCATTTATATAATCTATCATAGAAACTGGAATCTTCAGTATCCATTTAGTATATTCCATTTTCTTGCAACTACGTATAAGTGTGTTCTGTTTGTCATATATGTAAGATCGGTAGTATATTCCATTTTCTTGCAACTACATATAAGTGAGTTCTGTTTGTCATATATGTAAGATCGGGTAATAAAAAAGTAATCATTATTGACATTGATGAGAAACAAACAAACAAGAAGTTCATCGTTTTGGTTAAAGTATGTTTCATTTCCACATAACAAGATGGATAAAATATCAAATGACGGTACGACGGTAAAACCCTATATATAACCCACACACAAAAACTGAGGTGGCGTATATTGTTTTAGTTAAAAGGATATCTAACCACACTCTATTTCTAGTTTCATAGTATGTATTACTATTTACCTAGTACATTTTTCTGAATTTTGATGAAATCCTTTGTTTATTTGACATCTCCGTGGACCCAAAGTTAAATGGTTGCTAATCATGATCATTAATAAAAAACTAGATTTTGATCCGCGCTTTTAAAGAGTTGATATTTTTCATTCTAATAAAATTTGTTTAAATTTATAACTTTAAAAAGAAATTATTAGTATTTCAAGAAATTGTTTTATTATAGTGTTTGATTTTTAAGTAGTGTGTTTATATTTGATTCATATATATGATTGAAGCAATATTGTGTTTATAATTAAAATTTTGATGCAATCCGGTAAAAAAATTTAAAATTACGATCTGATATTAGTTAATCCACTAAAACCCAAAAAATCTAATAATACTTTTGAAGTTTTTGATTAAATAAATCTTGTTTTTAATATTATATAAAATTGATTTTTTAATTCCTTAGAATTTGATGAAATTTTTATTATGTTATTTGAAGGAAACGAAACAATGGTAATAGAAAAAGACAATTTTTTTTTAATATGACAACATTAGTTTCCTCTCGTTTCTAGTAATCTATGTTATTTTTATATTTTTATTTATTTTATGATAAGTTTTAAATTATTTTTGAACACTCAAAATTGACATATCAATATTATGTATACAAATACGTAGTAAATAATATTTTTAAAAAACTTCAATATCTACCTATATTCGATCTTTTAATATTATTACTTACAAAAAAAAATTCAAATTAAATGGCAAGTATACTTGGCATAAAAATCAGAATTATTACCTTTGACAAAAATATGGAAAGTATTAGTTCCCATAGATATAGGGAATATTTGATTATTTAACTTAAAAAAATAGAAGTTAGTGGTATGATTTTGTAATCTTCTTAAAAATCAAGGACATAATTCTAAGAATGATTTTGTTTTAATAGTATAGATTCAGAAAAATTCAGTTACCATGTAATGCAGAAAATATTCTATGTGTGTTCATCAAGTTAATTTACGTATATTAGAAAAGGTTGTTCCTATATATTTCGGAAAATCTTGTTTCTATATATTCTCTTTTGAATTTATTGTATTTAGTAATTATGAAAATGGATGTCATATAGAATATTTTTGGAATTTGTTTGACTTGCCTCGGATAATTGATGGAATATATAAAATTTGGTTTATATTTATATTAATGGTTGTTTAAAAGGTCAATGATTTCGAAAAATGCTAACCCTATACTATAATCTTATAACTAATAGTATTGAAAAATAATATTTAATTAAATTATGTCATTCAAAAATTTGGTATAGTTTAATGGATAACATGTTTTTGATGGTGTTAGTAGAGTTTGAATATAGTTTTAGGGTATAGGGTTAAAAGAGAAACAAATTTGGATGGGTCAGTGATGAAACATACACGAAATGGACAATTGTTTTTAGATGGATAAATTATTTCTATTGATTGAGCTGTTTTGTTTAGTTAATTGGGCTTTAAATTTTAGAAATCTATAGAAAAGAATAGAAATTTTTTTTGGCAACTTTTGTAATTAATTAGAAAATTCAGGAGCATAATCCTAAGAAGGATTTTGCTTTAATAGTATAGATGTATATACACATTATTTTGTGACTACATGTCAATTAAATTTGTTGATTTTTAATTTTAAATGATAATTATGCAGTACTGGATTAAAATCTATGATATTAGTGTTAATTATTTGTAATAGTTTGGAGTTATACGTTATGGATTTATGTTTTATTGTGTACGAGTGTGATTGACCAATCAAATTTAGGTGGATGGTTAGGTAAATTTTCTTCAAAATTTCATATTTTGTCCATTATTCCCAAGTAGATACGAACCCGTGCGTTGCACAGATTTTGTGTGATATTTTAATTTTTATAAAAAACATAAAATGATAAACATTTTCTAGTTTTAGGAATTTTTTCCATATATTGTGTGAGATTTGTTTCAGAATTAAGAATTTGTTTTATCACATAATTTCTAGTTAATATTTGTATTTTAATAAGAACAGATTTTGTTTTATGTTTTAATTTTACAAAGAATATAATAATTAAAAATTATTTTATTTTTAAGATTCGTTTTACATATGTTGTGTGAGATTTATTTCAGAATTAAGAATTTATTTCCCACATAACACCGATCAATATTTTTATTTTAATACTCATCAGGCATAAGTTAATTGTTATTAACTTTGTACTTAGGGTTAGAGAAAATATTCATACCTAAACTTTAAACCGAATCAAATCCGAATTAACAATTAAAATAAAATAACTTGTTTATGTAGTAATTTAATGTTTGCATTAACTTATTATATGTTATTCTTGTTTTTTAAATATATTCTAATACTTTCTTGGTCATTTAGTGAAATTCATATTGTTATTGTATGATCTTTGGAATTTTTATGCATTTTTGAATTATCTATATATTTTTGTTTACATTATTTATGAATTTTTTATTATTCAATCGTAGAAATTATTTTGGATTGTCATTTTTTATCATGTAATTAATTATAATTAAACCATTGATACATGCATCTCATAGCCACAAAAAAATTATGTGAATGTGAAGAATATTTTTCTGAATAATGATTGTGTGAATAACCGTTTATAAGAAAATATAACTTCTTAACTGGAGTTTTGTGGTAATAGATCTTAAAATAAATACATTAATTATTTTAATATATGTTGTAATAAGGTTGAAGAAGATTTTTTTTTTTTCTAATATAATTTTAACTATATGAACTTTAATATCATATATATCATTTGGAAACTTTATATAACCTTATAAACTCAATGCCAACCTTAAATAATAATCCCTAAACAGTAAATAATAAATCCTTACCTCAGATGTTATGGTATTTTTCATGAACATGATATTCAAGTTATAGTATTTCAAATATTTTCTTTAGTTTTTTTACTGTTTGAATTTGTATTTCCTATATGTACTTTATAATTATTTTCAAACTATTTGTTTCTCATTTTCTAGTAACAATCAAACAGGTTTATTAGACTAATTCATTATTAAACAATTTTCTTAATCTATTATGTTAATGATATATTTCCAAAAGCGAATTAGAAAAAAAAACTTCATATTTAATACAAAAAAATGAAGGTGAAGCTTGATTTGTTTTTTACCAAATACATATAAAGATCATTTACTGTGACAATAATAATAATCTATTTTTATGACCAAACACAAAATATATAACAAACATGGGTTTGATTTTCTTATGACCAAACACATATAACGATCAACATGTCGAATTTTTAAAATAAAATTACTAATAAAATTTCATCTCTATTTAAGAAAAAATAAAAGTGAAATACATTTGAAATGGTGTTACAATGTGTATTGTATTGATGTATAAAGATATGAGTCGCTCCAAAACCAAGATTATGACCCAAGTCAATCTCTCTCTCTCTCATCAACTTTAAAGACAGTTCTCAATTTTAAAGACAAATCTCTCTTAAGTCTCTTTCCATCACTACCAACTGAGAAAGAGAAAGCAATAAAGAGAAAGAAAACAAAGGAGAAGACAAAAGCTTCAATACCAAACTTCTTTAATAAATCTGGCCTTTTGGCTGTCTCCTTACTAAGTAATCTGTATTTCTTAGGTTTTGGAGTTCTAAACTCTTCTTTTAGATATTTACAGTAAGTTTGTAGGAATATCACTTTCCAACAATGTCATTGACAATGGCTGACCGTGTAGAGGCAGCAAGAGGAAGAAGCAGAAGAAGAAACAGCTTATTAAGTAAACAACTTGCTGTAGCTGTAAAAAATGTTCAGTGGAGCTACGCAATCTTCTGGTCCTACTCACCAACTCAATCCGGGTAAGTATCAAACAGAAATTAAGTTATCATGGTCTTATTTTACCAAGAACCAGTTATCATGGTGTTGATCTTTGCATCATAGCAAAACTAAGTTATGTCTGGTCATACACAAAAAAGGATTAGATCTTTATCTTATCCTTGCTTGCCCTTTTATTCTTATAAATTATCGGTTTAAGAGGTGTAAATATTATTATATTTGAGTACTATATTTTAAATTTAGGGTTTTGGAGTGGGGAGAAGGATGTTACAATGGAGATATGAAGAAGAGGAAGAAGAGATACGAAGCTCATTGTAAACATGTGTTGCAGAGAAGCAACCAACTTAGGAAACTTTATCTCTGTATGCTTGAAGGAGATAGTACTACTGCTATTAGTACTACTCATGTTGATGATTATCAAAATTGTAACAGTACAAGTATGATGCTGTCACCAGATGACCTCTCAGATGAAGAGTGGTACTATTTAGTCTCCATGTCCTATGTCTTCTCTCCTTCTCAATGGTTAGTCCTCTCTCTTACAAAAATATTAGATTAATTAATATATATAGCTCTTTTCAAACTATTCAAATGGTAAAAGTACCAATGGAAGTAAAAGTGGAGTGAACCATGTCTCCCATGACCTCTAAAGATTTGTCACCTCGAGTCAAAGATTCCACCTATAGATTTCATGTACTTGTTTTGGTCAAGGGGTTGATATCTTGTGACTCTTACTGTTTATGTACCCCCAACAAGGTTTGATTTAGGCTTCCTTACTGTTGCTATTTTAGCTGATTTACATTTTAAAGAATTATAAACTGGAGTTTTCTTTCTTCAGGATTCGAAAAAGTTTATATGTTTTTTTTTGTGTGTGTACGTTTTTAGTTTGCCAGGAAGAGCTCTGGCGACGGGTGAGACCATATGGCTTTGCAACGCTCAGTATGCGGATACCAAATTCTTCTCTCGTTCTTTGCTAGCAAGAGTAATTAAGCCTTCTACAACTCTCTTTCATGAATCTTGGTCTCTTAAATCGAATCTGACTATAATTCTCTTTCAACTTGCTTTGCTCTTCATGACTGTTCATACGGATTCTTTCCTTTAGAGCGCATCAATTCAGGTATGTTACGTTTATAACGTTCTAATATTTAGTGCTCAAATGTTTAAGATTCCACAAAGTTTAGGTCATGTTCGTTTTATATTTGGTTGCACCATCTTAATACAACATACTAATCTGTTCGTTTTTATAATTTGTAAAATCTGTTCGTTTTTATAGTGTTTGTATGTGCATTTAAATAAACAATTAGATGCTAAAATGTTCGTTTTTCTAATTTATAATAGAATTTAACACTTTAGTTAAAAAGACAATAAAGGCATGATTTATATATAATTAATTATTAACTATTATTGTATATGAATAAATATGTTTAAATTACATTTATAAAAGATAATTATTATATTTCAATATTTTTTTTAAAGAAAATTAGATTTTAAGGTTCTGGCAGAAAATCCAGTTTTATGCTTTTGTCGAGAAATCCATTTTTACGGTTTTAACATAAACATAATTTTGAGATTTTAGCGGAAAAATCTGATTTTCATTTCTGACAAAAGCTATTCTACTTTTTTTGAGAATGCGTGATTTTGCATTTTAATAGAAAATCTGATTTTACAGTTTTCATAGGCAAAATATTTGGTGATTTTGACAAAAAAACTCGATTTTACGGTTTTGACGAGAAAACTCAGGCAAAAACCAATTTAGCATTTTTGGCAAAAAACTAGTTTTATAGTTTTAGTGGAAAATCTATTTGAAATTTTGGTAAAACATTGATTTTGTGATTTAGTAGAAAAACTTGATTTCCTGTTTTGGAAAAAAATTGATTTCTTAATTTTGTGAAAAAATCCGATTTTACGGTTTTGGCAGAGAACACAGTTTAAGGTTTTGGTAGAAATATTTAATTTTGAAAATTGGGTGGAAACCATAATTTTCCGGTTTTAGTAGAAAATGTGTTTTCACAGTCTTAGTAATTAAGAAAATCCAATTTAGCGATTTTAGTGGGAAAACTCAATTTTATAATTTTGACATGATAATTTGATTTTATGATTTTGGAAAAAAATGAATTATATAGTTTTAATGAAAAAACTAAATTTTATGATTTTGCAAAATATAAATTTTATGTTTTTTGCAAAAAAATCCAATTTACAGTTTTGATAGAAAAACTGATTTTATGCTTTAATATATATATATATATATATATATATATATATATATATCTAATAATAATTAATATAAACTACTTATTTTTGTAACCATTTTTATATATATATTATTTTTTTTGAAAAAAAAGGGCTCCATTTTTATATTGTACTGAAATATATTTAATTGTTTTGGATTTTGGGATAATGTTGCATTCAAACTCTATTTTTTCTGCATCTCAAATATCTAGATTTTGTGGATTTTGCTTCGAGATGCATCATTTAGATGCAAAAGTGTATACACAAACAACATTTGAGCATTTGCATTCAAGTGCAACATCCAACATCAAATGTGAAGATAGCCACAGAGTATCTCCAACAACTTCTTACCTCACCATTTTTGTTTTCTTTGATAAATTTTATCTCGCATTTTTGAGGGGTTTTGCATTCCACAATATCATCATCCCTTCAAAATTTAAGGGGTGATTGTTGGAGTAATACATCTTCAAACTTGTATCTGAAGGTGTTCCCCTCCATAATGAACATGTTTGTTGGAGATGCTCTAAATCAATTAGAAATGATGTACAACTAATGTATATGTGTATCTTATGTCTTTATGGGACTTCTCCAGACTGTTGTATGTTTCCCTTACTTGGGCGGTGTGATTGAGCTAGGCGTCACAGAATTGGTAACTCTTCATCTTAGTACCAAATGGTCTAACTTTCCTTTCTTGCTTCAGAAGGAACTCATATATGCCCTAACTTGTTTTGTTTTTTCATGACCAATGAAAGATTTCAGAAGATCCTAGTCTGCTTCAACACATTAAATCTTGCTTGTTGGAGACTTCGAAACCTGTTAACTCTCCAATCTTCTCTACTAACCAAGAGAATGATGATGAGAAGGATCAAATGAAAATCAAGATCAGTGATGGAGACGCGGTGCTCCAAGAGAACCATGAGATTCAGTTTGGTATTTCTGATCTCATGTTGGATGAAGACTTGCATTACAAGACAACTGTTAAAACATTACTCAATATAACAACAGAGGAAGATAAGAACAATCATCATCATGTTCTTTCTTCGAGCTCAAGTTTCTTGCGGTGGAAGCAACGTGAGAAGTCAAACTCAAATCTTCTTCAGGAACATAGCAATTTGCAGCCGTTGACACAGAGCATGCTGCGGAAGATATTGCATGACGTACCTTTGATGCACTCTGTAGACGCAAAGAGAATGCTCCCAAATAAGACGTTTGGTCTGAATCAAGATGATCCTTGGGACAGAAGTAAAGAGAACGAAAAGTTCAGTGTCCTTAGAGCTATGGTTCCCACTGTCAACGAGGTAAAAATAAACCTATACTATGTTATCTATGCTCTTTATCAGAGACCAAGACTCCAGTTTTGAATGTGTATGGCACAGGTTGATAAAGAAGCGATACTGAACAACACAATCAAGTACTTGCAAGAACTAGAGGAAAGAGTTGAGGAGCTAGAATCCTGTATGGGATCAGTTAACTTCGCAGAGAGACAAAGAAAGAGCCCTAACGACTCTGTGTTGATCGAGGAGACATCAGGGAACTACGAGGACAGCACGAAGATTGATGGAAACTCAGGAGAAACCGAACAAGCCACAAGTTTCAGAGATGAAACACATTTGAGAGTTAAACTGAAAGAAACAGAAGTTGTGATCGAAGTAAGATGTTATTACAGAGACTACATAGTTGCGGACATCATGGAAACTCTGAGCAAACTCCACATGGATGCTTTCTCTGTTAGATCTCACGCCCAAAAAGGGTTCCTCACTCTGAATCTAAAGGCAAAGGTAAATTCTAAAAAACAATCTTCTTGATGTTCTTGGTTACTTGACTTACACGTAACATTTTTGGGGGCAATGCAGTTGCGTGGGGCTGCAGTGGCGTCCGTAGGAATGATTAAGCGAGAGCTTAGAAGAGTCATTGGTGAGAGTATGAGAATCACTTAATTAAGGGTTTCTTTAATGATTTTTGTAATAACATTATTTTTCTTTTATAACTTTCCTGTAATGTTATATTTTTGGACTTTGGTGAATCATTAGATTTACACAGAGTTTTTTTTTTAATGTAATCTTGTTTCCCAGACTGGCTGGAATTTTCGACATTGTTATCTTTTTTTTGTTGGTTGAATGGCTAGGAGGTTATGGACCGGTAGCCATCTTCTCTTCTATTATTTTTTAGTCAAACTATTCTATAATTTAATAGTATATATATATATATATATATATTAATATATACATATGTGTGTATGTGTTTATTGACAGTATTTGTCAAACGTGATTTAGGTATCTTTGATATCAATGATTTAAATTCCACAATTTCGCTTTTATGTTCTTATCACATTATTTGATCAAATTCACCGGAACTAGCTAGAAATCAACTGATCCTTAAAGTTCTCAATTCATTGGGTTGTTATTGGTGATTTTTTACACTTCAGTTTCTTGCTGAGTCCTTAAAAAACGGATTGAAATTTTACTAGCCGGAGAATGTAACTTAAAAACTATTTACTCAAAACTGTTTATTCTTTCTTAACTAAATGCATTATCTGTGGTGCTCGTTTGTAACTCATAGAGCTTGCAAATATAAATGTTGTGGAGCAATATAAAAGTTAATGGTTCACTTGCATTATTACCAGCTTCTGTAAGCCTGTTACGTACGTCTTTTTGTAATTTCTTGGCAGAATTTGAATCGAAATGGTCCAAATGAAGAGAGGAAGATTAGAAGTACTTCTCGTTGATGCTCATGGAATCACACACACAAATTTTATTGGTGGCTAATTAAAAAAAAAAAGACAATCAGTTTTCATATGCTTGTATATCTAATAACATATACTACATAGATTGAACTTAATTACTCTTATTTTGAATCTTTGTTTGCAGGAAGGCCTATGTATTATGTGTTGTTACAATGTGGGACAAAGGAGTACCGAAGCAAAGTGTCAAAAGGTTCAAGTTTTGTTATTGACTAAATTTTGTTATTCTTCTAAACCAAAGGTATTTTAAATGATATTCATGGTAAAACCAGGTCATAATGACAACGCATTGTGGAACCAAAAGTTTGTGTTCGATTTCCCAATGTCTCAATGGAAGAAGCTGACTCATATCAAGTTTAGAATCATGGACAAAGAGCTTTTCAAAGATGGTGGATTTGTTGGTGAAACCATGTAAGTTATTCTGAAAATGAGTGTGGTTTAGCGTAGCAATATTAATATATAACACCATTCATGTGTATTGACTCATTTTTGGTATAGAATTGATCTTAAAGGGATAGTAGCCGAAGGAGGTGACAGAGGATACATGGAAGTTAAACCAACTCCGTACAATGTTGTTCTTGACGATGATACTTTTAAAGGCGTCTTAAAACTCGGATTCAGATTCACTCATGCAGCGGTAACTCAGTAACTACCCTAGATAGAACTGTAGTTCTTTAAAAAAAAAAGTAATATTCTCAAGAAAAACTTGTATTTTTGTAGGACAAATTGAGGAGGACGGCATGGGAACAGAAGATAGAGGGCAAAAACAGTGAAGAAGCAATGAATTCCACAGCTCTGAGTCTGATGAAAATCCCTTTGTTAAGGTTTCTCATGTATTGCTTCCAGAAAACAACCAAATACCAACTAAAAGACAACTAAAAGGGTCAGCATCAAATTAAACTCCTTTCTTTATCAAATCTTTTTTTCTCTTCGGAATTGCATAATGTGTATAACCCGATTGGGATTCCATCAAGTACTAGCGATGTCATTTATTTGGTTTCTGAGTTTGTGCAAACATTTTAGGTTCACAGCTGCATGGGCAAGTATGCAAGGTCTCATCAATGCACAATTTCTTTTTTTTCGTCGACTATAAGCAATGTTCTATACTTCTATTCGTAGCTAGGGTTTCTCAATCAATCCTTTCATGGTATCGTGATCATGGGCAAGAAACTTTCGATATGGTTATTTTCATTTCTTTCACCTTCAATCTTTAATGTAATAATTGCCATGCATTTATATATTTTGGTGTAACATTTTCTTACTTTCATTTAATTTCTCAACCCAACAATCTCAAGAACCTTACACGTATTTTCGGGATAAATAAATCCCTAAATTAAATGATAAGAAAACTTTTATTTACTTTCTCTGATATTTTTTTTTCTTTTAAGTTCCGTTGTGTGATAAAGTATTTTGCTCCCGGTCCTGGATATAATCGATCTTATATAACAAACTAGGGGTAGGCGTTCGGGTACCCATTCAGGTTCGGTTCGGATCTATTCGGGTTTCGGGTTTTCGGGTTCACAAATTTTAGCCACATTCGAAAATTTCTAAATTTCGGTTCGGGTTTGGTTCGGATCTTTGCGGGTTCGGTTCGGGTTCGGATAACCCATTTAAATTCTTTTTTTAAATTTTAAAATTGATTATATACTTTAAATTTCTAAAAAATTATAAAAAATTAATATATTACAAATAATTGAATAACATAAGTCAAAATATCTAAAATTAACATATAAATTAGTTTGATTTGAATATTTGGATTGTGAATCAATAATTTTTTTAAGTATTTTTGAAGTTTTGAGTGTACTTTAGCAATTTTAGACATGTATGTTTGACTATTTACATATATTTACAAATATTTTGAATAACTTCAAAGTATTTTATATATATACTGAATGTTTTTATATATATTAAATCTAAAATAATTAATATATATAGGTATATAAATCTCTTTCGGATATATTCGGGTACCCGAAATACTTCGGTTCGGGTCGGGTTCGGTTTCGGTTCTTTAAATACCAAAATTTTGAACCCGTTCGGATATTGAATCAATTTCGGTTCGGGTTCGATACTACTTTTTCGGATCGGGTTCGGTTCGGTTTTTCGGATCCGGGTTTTTTGCCCAGCCCTATAACAAACACAGATCTCAGTTAATAATTTGGCATACTTATATTTATTATGTAAGTAAGCATTGTCATTAGTTTGAGCTAGCATACAATTTTTTTTCTTCTTCTGGATATGTTAGAAATGTTGAATAAACCACAACGAATAAATCATAGCAATATGTTTGAATATGAATGTAGTTAATATTGTATATACACCATAGTCTATATAAAAATAATAGCCCAGAAATAAAAGATATGAATTAATATGCGGGATTTGTTACGACGAGAAAATGGGACGCACGTCTTCTGGCTCACGCACGAACCATGCAATATATATACTTTGTCTTCTCCATGACATTAAGTTATTATCATGTGCTAAATTATTATAGGTACATAATTCAAACTGAAATTATAATATAAGATAGTCACCTTTTATGAGTTGCAGAGAATCGTGTAAACTACATGGGGATTAAGCTAAACTACATCCATGTGAATGTGATAATTGGTCTAATTCATTAACAGTTGATACAAAGATAAAATAAAAATTTCCAATACAGCCGTTACAAGACCGACCAGAGATTAATTTTTTAAAAGAATACTTGTAAAGGTCAAGAGGCGATATATATACGTTGAACATTCACTCGTATCTCATCTAAAACCAAAGATCTTTTCCTAAATTAAAAATCTCAACAAATTAATAAGGATCAACTTTTTAATTCTTTACTTAAATAATCCCTTTATAACAAATACCATAAACTAGGTAATAATCTGCGTTTTACGCGGAATGTGATTATTAATTTAATTATTTTTAGTAAAGAAATATTAAATCTGTTTAATCTGAATATATGTTCGGTTTTAGGTTATTTTTTTCTAATCTTCTAAAATATAATTATCATTTTAAAATAATATTTATCTTGATTTGTTCGGTTAATTTTTTTGATGTTTTTGGTTTTTTTTGGTGATAACCAAAAATTACTATTATTTGTTTTTTCATGTTATGAATTCTAGATAGTCGTAATGCCGAACTAATGATTTCATATTATATTTTCTAAACGAATAATACAGATAATAGTTAAAGAAGAAAAAAAAATATTAAGATAAATCATTTCACTACAATTTGATTGATAATAAAAGAAGTATTAAAAAATAACATTTCAACTTAAAAAAGTTGCTTTAGTTGTGATGAATACTTAGTTATAAGGTGCTCACATCAAGGTTCACATGTATATGTATGTAAAAGTATATAAAACGGTTAGTAAATATATAAAGATAGTGTTAATTAATATTAAATAATTAACCTTTTGTTCATAATAACACATAAAAGATAAAAATTTAAAATAAATAAATTAAAAATAAAATAGATCTAGACATTAGTGATTTTTTTCATATAAATAAAATAAAATTGTATCCGTAAATATGCGTGGTTAGGGATCAAATATCCGAGTATTTGGAGGCATTCGTGAAAATTCAATCTTTAGCCACCTAGATATTCTATGATTCGGAAAGCAAGAATTTTTTAGAATTTTAAAGAATATCATAGTTGAACCGTAAATAAAATAAAAATAAATAGAAAATATAATAACAATATTTTATTCCAAAAATAATCATTTAAAAAAAAATTCTAATACCTAATATAATAATTTTAATACATAAAATATTGTAAAACTTATGTAAACTATAATATATATAATTCTTTACATATATGTATATATATGCAAATAACGGAACAAATTGGATATCCGTTCATAAAAATATTGGTATTTGTGATTTGCTTTCTTTTTTGATATTGTATTTTAGTACTTGATTTGCTTTGTAAAGTTAAGGATATTCAATTTTTTTTGGTTCAAACCAAAATAGATAACGAATTGAATCAAAAATTATGAATATTTTTCCAGGCTTTATCCATATACAATAAAAAAAATATATAAATAATTTAGTTTTTGTTTCGTAATATTTTTCGATTTGAACTGAAAAAACAAGAGTTTTACAGGCCATGCTGTGAATTTTAAATTGAAAAAAATAAAATTATATAGTGTAAACACATTTATAGTAGTGTGAACATGTCATCATATTTATTATCAAATCTTTGTAAGTCTGACACGTGTTCATTATAGTATGAATGTATTTTTTAGAATGTTTTTCCTATAATATATAAGGGATTTAAGTCGAGTTGAAATTAGGATATATATAGTTTATTTATTTGTTGTTTGGGAAATGAAAAAAAAAAATCGCTAGTAAATGTACAATTATTCAATTTAAACGATCCAATAATCAATAGTTTCTGATAAAAAAATATGATACGTATATTAGCCAACAAGAAAACCATATTATAGTAGCAAATAGACAAATAGTTCAATGTTGAACAAAAAAAAAAGGACAAATAGTTCAACATCTCTTTAAGAGGTATTTCCTCACAATAATAATAACCAGAACACTGGTTGAAGCCAAGGAAAAGCCAAACTTCATCATTGTCTGGAGCACAAGATCAACCTGTCCTTTTTAATCCAACGGTTCACATTAGTCCCTTTTTCCGGTCACCCACCGGATTCTTCACCTGAAAGCTTCCATAAGAGAAAGAGGGTTTTGGATCCAACGGGAGGGAACTGAGTTTCTAACGTTCGTTTAAATTTGGCTTTAAACGGTTCAAAAACTTCAAAGTGAATTGCAGAAGAAGCTTTAAAGGTAAAAAGACCGTTGCTTTGATTTTTATTACTTTAACGTTCTTTTTTAGATTTTTTTTTAAAGTTTCAGACTTTTCTTCTTGTTCTGATCACTTTATTCTTCTTTGGTCCTAGAAAAAATTCACTATCCAACATTCCCGTTTTCAAATTTCAGATTCTTAAGTCTCTTGATTAACACGCAGCAAAAGTTCAAAGCTTTAAAACCATTTTTCTGTGTTACTTCCTCAGAAAAGAAACAACAAAAAAAAACAGATCAAGAACAGAGAGAGAGATTCCTCTGTTTTCAGCTGAAAAAAGGATGGAGAATTTGTCGAATATAGATGAAAACGAAGATCATCACCAGTCACCTGGATCCATTGACCAAAATGATCAATCAGCAACAGAAACTCCGGTTTACTCGACCATGAGCATAGATTCCTTTGTGTACCCTCGAACATGTTCAGAGAGTACTTCAGGCTTTTCAGACCAAATAGATGAAACCAACAGCTTCTGTAGTGACGCTTCTCCTTCTGATTGGCCTGTCCTCACTGAATCCAAGAGCTCCAAATTCCTCACTACTGGTTTAGAGATGCGAACTCATGAGAATCTTCAAGCCCAAGATTTCTCAGAAGCAGGTGTTGTGTCCTCTCTCTCTTTCTGAGATTTAAAAAAAAAAAAAAAAAAAAAATTCTGAGATTAATAATAAAGTGTTTGGGCAGAACTTGAGACAATGAAGGAAAGATTTTCAAAGCTTCTACTTGGAGAAGATATGTCAGGAAGTGGGAAAGGAGTTTGCACTGCAGTCACCATCTCTAACGCTATTACCAATCTTTATGGTAATTAAAGTCTCAGCCTATTTTATATATGTTCTTGTTTCAGACTAAATGTATATCATTCTTCTTTTTTTTTTTTTTTGAAATGTTTGTAGCTACAGTTTTTGGACAGAATCTGAGGTTAGAGCCATTAGAAACAGAGAAGAGAGCAATGTGGAAGAGAGAAATGAATTGTCTTTTATCGGTATGTGACTACATAGTCGAGTTCATCCCTAGATGTCAGAGTCTAAGCAATGGAACTACTGTTGAGGTGATGGAGAGTAGACCAAGAGCAGATATCTATATCAACTTACCTGCCTTGAGAAAGCTAGATTCCATGCTTATGGTACATTTATACAATCACATGATTCTGACTCAAAGACATCTCTTTTGATGATCATCTCTTTTTTTTGTTGTTGTCAACAGGAAGCATTGGATAGTTTCCAGAACACAGAGTTTTGGTATGCAGAAGAAGGAAGTCTATCCATGAAATCTGCACGTTCTGCCACTGGATCCTTCAGGAAAGTTATAGTACAGAGGAAAGAAGAGAAATGGTGGTTACCAGTCCCTCTCGTTCCTCCAGAAGGTTTGTCAGATATAGCCAGAAAACAACTCAAAAACAAGAGAGAGAGTACTAATCAGATTCACAAAGCTGCAATGGCTATCAACAGTAGCATCCTCAGTGAAATGGAGATTCCAGACTCTTACATGGCAACTCTTCCAAAGGTTTTCTGTTACATTCATAACAAAACCTAAATTCACTATAATGTTATTTTTTGAGTCTTGTTCTTTAACCGTTTGAATGTTTTTTTTTATGTCTGCAGTGTGGTAAAAGCAGTGTTGGTGACTCAATATACCGCTACATGAGTGGTTCGGGTCGGTTTTTCCCAGAAAAACTCTTAGATTGTCTGAACATAGCATCTGAGCATGAAGCTGTGCAGTTAGCAGATAGAGTAGAGGCTTCAATGTACACTTGGAGACGCAAGGCTTGTCTTAGTAACTCTAAGAACTCTTGGAACATGGTGAAAGATCTTATGTCAACTACAGAGAGAACAGACAAGAACTATGTAATGGCTGAGAGAGCAGAGACTCTGCTCTTCTGTTTGAAACAGCGTTATCCAGAATTATCTCAGACATCATTAGATATATGCAAGATTCAGTACAATAAGGTAAAACATACTAAAGAAAGAAAAGTCACTGAGTTTGATAGTAATAAGCTAACCCGAGTAATTTTATTGATGCAGGATGTTGGAAAGGCAGTGTTGGAGAGCTATTCAAGAGTACTCGAAGGCTTAGCTTTTAACATAGTTGCTTGGATTGATGATGTTCTCTATGTAGACAAAACCATGAGCGGTAGTGAATAAGTTGTTAGCTACAGATTCTAGACTTTACTTTTGACTGAGTTTTTCTGTGTCTCTTCTTTGCCTTGCGTCTCATCATCTATCTCACCTGTAAATTAAACTCAGATCAATATCAGTGTAAACAAATGTTTCTTTTGTCTCAATTTCTGATCAGCCAAGTTTCTCCATCAAATTTATTACGAAAAGAGAGAAAGAGTGTTCATCAAGAAGGAAGTCTACATTATAAACTTTTTGAAGGGGAATAATAATAATGTTTAGTCAAATTAATTTTCGAATCCCTATTATATACAACAACAGGGTTCCGGACCAGTAATGGGTCCGGGTGGTGTGACCAAAAGAAAGCAGCAAAAAAAGGGGGTTAGTAGTTAAAATACAAAGATCTGAAGAGGCTGCACAGACTCATAGAGATCTCTCTCTCACTAAGACTTTTTGCTTCATTCTTCCAAGGCACCGAATATCCAAGCTTCTTTGCTTCTCACTTACCAGAGCTCTCTCTCTCTCTCGTGATCTCATCAAAAAGCAACTATGGACTCATTTCAACTGTCTTCGTCCACTGAACCAATGTATGTCAGATCAGTCCGTCTGACCCTCACTGCACCTTTTAGCCAGCATGTGGCTCGAAGATTGCCCATGTCGCTGCTGTTTGAAGCGTTGCTGCTTGATGGACCTGAGCTTGTCCCGTCTTCCAAAAGCGTCCATGGGTCAACCACATCCGTGTTGTCTGCTTCTTGCTGTTGACATGGTGACAACATCGTCTGCTTCAGCTTCGCTTGCGCTGCTGCTGTTACGGTTTTTGGTGTGGCAGGGGAGTTTCTTTGATTGATCCCCCCAGCAGCAGCAGATCCCGAGGGTTGAACAAGTGTGAGTGCGGTTGGCGGAACAGAATGTGGCTGACACGAGAGAGTGCAACGTAGAGAAGGAAGGAGAATTGGCATCGCTGCTTGGATCCGCCATCTAATGGTGTCCGGTAGCTGCATCCGTGCAAGCTCACTCTGCATTATTGGCAACATAAAACCAATCAACTTCAACAATCGTAATTTTCAGTTAACAAGTGTTTTATACAATTTTGTTTGTCAAACCTGTAAGCTCTCTGCTGCATCACGATCAAACAAGGTAAAGTCTTTGGATGATTCATTAGAAGAAGACCTTGGCTTCAGCCAATTTGGCTGATGATTGCTTAAAAGCCCATGGAGTACAAAAAGTAATCTGTCAAATAAGACTTCAGTATAAAGATTTGCCATGGAAGGAGCTATAGTTGATTCTGTCTCCGTCTTTGATAGGTCACTACGAGGAGAGCATGCAGCAGAGTCTTCATAAACTACTCGGCTTCCAAGCAGACGAACTATTGTAGATGCAAGTGTATGTCTCGCGTTCCTAAACGAGGGTTCCCTGAAAAATTGATTGCCATACAGAAAAGATAACTAAGCCTTTAGTTAGGTAACACGGGAAATGGCCATTCCTTATGAATCTGCTGAAAGAGCATAAAGTTAATAGTATACATATATATGTATTGTAGAGACTAAAGTACCTGCAGATGACGGGCAGTAATCTTAGAAGAAATTGCAACCGCAAAGACATAGAAGCTCTCAAAGCAGCAGGGGAAGGCGGAGGTGAAGTGTCCGTAGTAGTGGTTGAGGATCTTCTAGACAAACTAGGGCTACTTCCACGAAGGCCCTTCCGAGTGCTTCCTTTATTTGATGAAACCTCAGACCCAGAAGAAGCAGTTCCCATGTGTTTGTTGTTTGTTATACTGCGGTTGGTGACTGAACTTAACTGCTGCTCAATATTGCTAAACTGTCTTACCAAGTCATTCACAAAGATGCTTCGAGATTCATCAGAGCTTTGATCTATGCATGGAAGCACTAGCTTAACAAAAGCCCTCTCAGTTGTAATCCCATAGCCATCACTGGAACTATTCTCATCTAACGCCCGGGGTAATAATACCTTTTTTGAACCCAACCCTTCTTCGATCACTTCCCCTTCTTCGAAGGAAGTACTTTCTAACTTCCTTTTCTTTCCTGCCTTGTTTCCCGTGATAGGATCGGAACTGGAGTTGCTGCACCAGCCCCAAGGTTTCCAGAACTTAGGTTTCGTCGGAAGTCCTTTGCTTTCTCCAACTATAATCAGTTTTTGTCTGATTGTTTTTCGTCCAAGAAGAACATCTGGGCCTGCTAGAAACCATTCAGCTTGCTTCAACATTGAATCCTCAACCGACCTACCGAAGAGATGAACCACTTCCGAGAAAAGTGGGACTGCATCAGGTCTAACCAATAACCTTGTGAGGAGGATTTGAATGAAATTTTTCTCATTCTCAGATGCCTCAGGCTTCTCAGAGGTAGGACAGGAAGATCGTATTGCATCTGTCAAAGGCATATCGTGATTTTCGAGTTTCTCAGTTAGTGCTTGCTCGTTTAGAAGCAGCCTGAGTTCAACCCACTGCCAGTGAAACTTTGCAGGTTGCAGGCAATCTAATACAGACACCAGCTTGTCCACAAGCTTTGTTCCAGTTCCCTGGTGTCGGTTTTTTGCTTCACTAACTCCTTCGTGGGAATAACCAGAGGATGGCACCTTACAATCAATTATGGAATTTAGGAAAAGACGCGCACGAAGAGGAGCAAATGCCACAGATTTTAAGTGCATATCCAAACCATTCAGCTCAAGTACTGACGCAAACTCAGCATCTGTGGAATCCGCAACTATCAGTTCATAAAGTCTCTGGGTGTCTCTTAAGCACACATCTCGGAAAGGAAGGTGCTTGATCACATCATGGAAGGCCACTGTCAAAGACTGATAAAGGCGGGGAGTATCTTCATGGACGCTGGAGTTAGCGTTACCATTCGAAAGAAAAGGCCTCCACAGAACAAAGGCAATAATTGAATAGGCTGGTGGGAAGACCAATTTCAGCGGAAGCATGCGCTGCAGACGCGATATAGCCACTACGGAAGATTCTCCCACAAGCTCCAAAACCATCCCTTCCGAAACAGTTTTGCAGTTACCCACAAGAAGTCTGAACCAATGTACATAAACTTCAATAGGGATATCCACTTTAGAGGCTCCCACGGACCTAGCACTGCCATTGGAACTCGATTTTGTACGCCTTACAAACTGAACTAAATCTAAGCACTCCCTTAGTCTCAGCAGACCAACAATCCTCTCAAGAGTTATAACGCCATGTGTGATAGCACCTATAACAAGTGCAGATACAGCAGCAGTAACTTTTGTTGCTTTGCTCAGCGCTATTTTTCCAGTACCGTTCGGCATATCATTCGTGTTGTTCGCATTTGAATCATACGATTCAGGAGATAGCTGATGCTGACCCCGGGATCCCTTCGCAGGGGCAAACGCTCCAGCAAGAGCTGTGGAACTTTCTGTTGCGAGCGCTATTTCAAACACTCGACTTTGACGCTCTCCAAGCGCTTCCTTTAGAAGGCACAGACAGGTTATATGGATTTGCAAAATGTGACGTGCAATATTAGATGAACCTACGCCAGAAGGACGATTCTGATGAACATTTCCCACAGGGAAATCCAAAATTCTTGCCATGGAAATGCCTACACTGTTTATGATCGCAGATACCGCAGAAGAAACCAAAGAGGGATCACCCTCTTGTGCTGCACCGCCAGTCTGTCTAATGCAATCCATTAACCCAACTACAATTTGTTGAGCTACCTGATACCCGTCATCATTTTTCTCAGCAAGTGAGGCTTTCATTGTATCAGTACCAACGAGTTTTCTGAGATAATGAATTGTCTCTTCAACATGTCTTTGCATAACCTCTCTCATATTCAAACCCACTCTTGAAAGACGAGTACCACTGCTGCTGATTTTTTTACGTAAATAGTCATCTGGATTATCTACTCCAGCTGGAACACCAAGGGGGGTTCCATATTCACCGTTTCCTGATCGCGTATGATCAAGTTCAGAAAGAAGCCTCTTTTCACACGTTGCTTTGAAAGTGTTCTGCCATTCCACAACACTGGGAAGATTTCCATATCTTTGCAAAATATAGCGAGCATAAACTAAGGCTGCTGATCCAGAAATTTTTCCATTACTCGACATAAGTGATCCAGCACGGGCCATCAAAGCTGTCATGGCCTCGGGGACAAGATCTGCTGAAAATAGTATGTTTTCATACCTGAAAGAAAATGATCGTACACATGCACAAATTAATTTCTAGAAGCACATTAGTTAGAAATATAAATGACTAGTGGAGAGTAAAACACACCTCCTAAGTGCTGATACTAGAATAGCCTCCCCTACTTCACACACGTTGTTTTCAACATTCCTTGGCATAGTTAGAAGGTTTCTCCCACCTTGAACAGAAAAATTTGGGCTACTTTTGGCCTTTGGTAATAACCAAAGAAGAAATTTAACAGCTGAAACCAAGTCAAGAGAGAGATCCATGAGAAATAATATGGAAGATAGCTCGTCCGCCCCAAGTTTCCACCTAACTGTGGTTTTTTCTTCAACTGGAGCACCTTTATTGAACTGGCCAACTCTCACACTGCTCTTTTCGGACTCTTCAACAAGTTGCGGAACAACAGTTGCAAGCCAAACTGCAATAGACCGCTTATCAACAAACTGTAGCTGCTTCAAAGAGTTTCCAACAGAAACAATATCCACAGGGGTAGAAGTTCTAAACACATCAACCACCTTATGGTTTTCTCTTTCCACTCCAGGGCCATGATGAGGACATCTTACTTTATTATCACATACATGACTCGTTGAAGCTCCTTGGCTACCTTCAATCCTAGCAGCTTGTAGTTGAGCTAGCGACTGTGTTTTGCGCACCATCTTCTGCCTACCCCTCGGTTTAGTTAACTCTATCGGAGGATCAACCTTCAAAGAAGGCTCCACAGTTTTCAACCCCTTCTTTATCCACCAGTTATCTTCTTCATCTGATGCAACTGGTGAACTCCCTTGGTAGCAAGAACTCTTGTCATCATTCATTTTTGTTCTTTTTGCTCTTCTACAATCTTCACACCCTGGTGTAGATTCTAGGTGATCCATCTTGCTAT